TGCCACCCCGCTCCATGCTTACTCTCCTCTGCGCCGACGTGCTTGCCCCCCCCCCCCCTTGCCCCCTCTCTATCCTTCACCCTGCCACCCTTCACCCATCTCCGTGCAAAACACCGTCGCCCTGGCTCCGGCCCTCGTCCATCCCGCCCGCTGCACGTGTGCCGAAACTCTCTGCTAATAAGCAGCGGGGGGTGGCTAGTAGGCCAAAACAACGTCGTCCCGTCTGTTCCCAGATGCCGTTCGCCAGCCTTGTTCGTCAGCGTCAGCGACAGCGAATTGCGTCTTTTGACCGATTACCATGGTCTGCCTCAGGCTAGTCGCGCAGCCGGGCACGTGAGTGCCAAGGCCCACTTGCATCGGCGACATGCGCTCCTTTGGCATGTTGGCCTCGCTCCACCACTCAACGATTTGTCTCAGGTAACAAGCAACTCCAGACTGCCATCACCTGGTGGCTCTCCCTCCTGCTAGCCAAGCGACCTCTCGCAAACCACTCGTCGCTAGTCGCCCCTTCTGTGCCTGGCCAAATGTCCCTCGTCAATGCGCCTGCCCACCCAAGGCCTCCATACGCGGGGTAGAATATGGGGGGATACGATGCCACAGACCGCGTTTGCCCACTTGACCTGGGCGGGTCTGCCCTGCTACACACTATCTGCTGTATGTCTACTCGCTGCCTCCTCTGACGGCGCGCCTAGCGCTGGTCTGCCCTGCCCTGCCCGCCTGTCGCCCTTCACATAATTATGTACATACATATGTACTCCATGTACTCCATGTACTTAGCATGCACACAACTACATTCCTACGGCCGAGTGTCCACTACTCCTAGTGGGCCCATTGATTACAACGCCACGCCATCACTCTAGATCTTGCAGCTCCAACGCCCGGCTGTTGGAATGACTAGATACGCTGGCACGACAGTCCCGGGCTACCGCATTGCAAAAGACCGCTTGCCACCAGCAACTTGAAACCTAAAATGCTTGGGGGTCGGAGCGCGTCCGTAGCCTGCGACTAGACAAAATGTACCAACTTGTGGCACTAGACTCGTACCGAGCGGGTCACGGTCACCTATTTACAATTCTAATCTCCGCTGAAACAATTCTCCCGGCGCCGTTCACAATCTTAACATTTCGCTTCCCACCGCCAGGTTTGTTTGCACTACGCCCGGTCCGACAACAGACCCTTCAAACAGCTACACAATCACACACCAGCCGAGGCTGAGCATGATGATCAGCATCCCCATGGCCATAGTGGGTGGTCCTCTGGTGGGAACGGGCAGCGTACTAAGCGCAGGATCTTGAACAACCGGCGGTTACAGTAAGAAAGTCAGCCAAAGCTCCGAGGAGCCCTCCTCTATTCTGTTTGTCCACATGCTTCCTGAGCTAGCGGACAACACCATCGATGGGGGGCCCACTGCAAACTGGGCCATGGGCTCCAGCCGCAGTCCTGTCCCAGGGCTGAATGCCTTCGGCTGCCGAAAATGCACATAAGCACATGCGACAAGCTGTCGAAGCGACATACTACCATGTACTAGTAGCAGGGCCAGTCTATTAGCCAGGGTCTGACATACCTACATATGTACCTACTTAAGTACTTGGGCGTGAAGATCCGCTAGATAGGTGCATATGTATGGCTCGTAAAGGGACTATTGGGACACGGCTGATGGCGCTGCAAGTAGTTTCGGCGACTAGCTCAAAGCGCTCTAGCTCCGCCCACCATGCACAGGTAATTTCGACTTCAAAGCGTTCAAGGCTTCGTGTTTTGTGGAAACTGCAATGTCGCCATCGACTGTGTAGTGTGAGCAGGCGGTAGACAGTGGGGACAGTTTGATCAGGCGAACTTGTTCAGGTCAAAACGGAGGCCTCGGTCTCCGCAAATTATGCCTTTACACGCAATTTGACCTCTGCGATGCATCTCAACGACGCAGTTGAAGGGGGATGAGAATATACGACTACACAGTGCACGGAATCGTCTATAACTGCAGTCTGTCAACACGTCAGGCTGCATGGCGCCAGTGGGTTCGGCGGCGGCAATCCATGACACATTACATGTGTGCATACACACAGACGCTGCAAGGCCGTAGGCTGTGGGCGTCGCAGATGCTCTGCCATGGTAGCCATGTGCAACTTCTCCAGTAAGCTTTGGAGGGCATGGGGCAGAGGGACTCGGGAGAGTGACACATGGCCCATGCGCAAGCTCGCTCCACCTCGCCTCGGTGAAAGCATCCCCGCAAACATCAACCCCACAAACAGTTTAACAGCTATGCACGTCATTGCATCTTTTTTTTTTGCCTGACCCAATACAAGTGTTGATACCTCGCCGTTTCTCTCATGTCTTCCAAATTTCTCTGCCTCCGCTCTGCGCGTCTTGCTGCGCGCTATCCGTGCCATCGACGAGCCTTTGCCTCAGCCGCCTCTAGCCGCGCCGACCACGTTCGCATCGTAGAAGTTGGGCCACGCGATGGATTACAAAATGAGAAGCAGACAGTGCCGCTGGCTACCAAGATAGACTTGGTAGAGAGGCTGGCAAAGACCGGGTTGACGACCATCGAAGCCGGCTCTTTCGTTGCGCCAAAATGGGTGCCGCAGGTGAGAAAGAAGCGTCTTGAAAATTGCTCAAGCTTTGCTGACTGTGAAGCCAGATGGCCAATTCGGCAGAGATACTTGAACACGTCCTTTCCCGTCCCCCTCCATCGCCGCGACCAATCACATACCAATGGCTTCTGCCAAACGTCAAAGGACTCGACAACTTCCTCTCCACCTGGCAATCCAAGTCCCAGCCTGGCCAAGATGCATACCCAACGCCCCCACCTTCTCCAGGACCGGATAATGGATCAGTTTCGAACGCATCCTTCCAGACTGAAGCATCAGGTTCGCCATCAGAACCTAGACACGAAGTCTCAATTTTCACAGCGGCGACCGAGTCTTTTTCTCAGAAGAATACAAATTGCTCCATAGCAGAATCACTGAAGCGTTTTGAGCCAATAATGGCCAAAGCAAAGGAAATGAACCTAAATGTGCGCGCGTACATTTCGGTCGCACTCGGTTGCCCATACGAAGGTCCAAATGTCGATCCTCACAAAGTGGCAGAACTGGCTGTGAGTCTACTGGAGATGGGCGCCGACGAGATTTCAGTAGGAGACACTACGGGCATGGGTACTGCGCCTAAGACGATGGAGCTTCTGAAAACACTAAACGCTGCTGGCATCGACAAGAACGATCTTGCACTCCATTTCCATGACACATACGGCCAGGCGCTAGTCAACTCGGTCGTAGCTCTTGAGCATGGAATTCGCACTTTTGATGCGGCAGTGGGTGGTCTTGGAGGCTGTCCGTATAGCCCCGGTGCAACTGGAAATGTGGCCACGGAAGATCTTGTGCACTGCCTTCATAGCCTGGGAGCGAACACTGGTGTGGATATTGAGAGGCTTGCAGAAGTAGGCCAGTGGATTTCTGAGGAGTTGGGAAGACCAAACGAAAGTAGAGCTGGCAAGGCCACCTTGGCCAAGTTACGAAGAGCAGCGTAGAAATTTGAGCATATTAGATGAATGTAGAAAAGATCTTGTTTCATCTAGGACATGACTAGTATTCCATCCTGGAGCCTGTCTCTTTTATATCAATCGTTTCATCTTATGTTTATATCAGATCTATGCTCTTTTATAGAAATGGGGGGTTACATCTTAAGCATATCTATACCAACCAAGACATGACTTATTGTATTTTCTTTTCCTTGAAGAATTAGCAAGCAAATGCGTTAGCCGTGGATAATCAACAAACTCTGGAAGTAACATACACACACTGCGAGCGCCAGACTTGAAAGAAGAGAACAGATAATCTAACACTGATACCGAAAGATTATTTGTATGCTCGAAGTTTGGTTTAGCTATAAGAGAAGTAGATATTAGTAAAATGTGAAAAGGCACGTTGATGTATCTTCATGTTTTTTGCCCTTGGGTTCCTGCGGTGTAACTCGACCCATTTCCCTTTTTGAAATAAATACCACTCAAGCTCCATGCCTTTGCAATGGCAAAATCGCTCTTTACTATTATAATATACCTGCATCTCTTACATTTAAAACATGTGTACATACCGGTATTTTCTTTTTTCATCCCCTTTTTTTTGTGCTGGGGGCCCACGATAAAAAAAAATAGAGCCGATATCTGACAATGTATCTCAGCACTACCTTTACTGGTCAGACTCTAACCTCGTTTGCACCTCTCCCGGGAGCCCTATTAGTCCCTATTCTCACTCATCTTCGTCATATCTGACTTGGGCACTGTAGATACAAACCCTAATGGAACACTACATTAGCTCGATAGCTGCGTTCGTCTATCGTGAATACAGACTGTTTGAACCTTACTGGGCTATTGGTTTACCCCTCCCTTACCCGGTTATTTCGATTCCATTGACATGTCATGTTTATCACGCTCTCTTGTATGTCTAGAATTGAGATGGGGCTGAATAGTTGGTAAACTGTCTCGCTGTAAGATCGTTTTCATGCTGTTCATGTTTCCTGTTGGCTGGTATGCATAACAGGTTCGTTCAATAATTTCCTCTCGGTGCTAGGAATGTCTGCCAGCAGCGTGGGAAGAATCTAAGCACAGAAGGGGGCGTTGAGAACGTTTGTAGACTAGAGTCAAATAGATTGTTGTTGTTTTTTGGATTAATCGCGCGTTTGGTAGGAGAGAGACAAGTGGTGTGTTTATATTGTAGCATGTTGTACAAGTTATTGCTGTGGCGGTAACCGTAGGATATTAACAAAGTATGAATTGTTGATAGGATGACTAGAAAGTATTTTAGTGGTTAAAGAATAGGTTACACCACTTGGCCGAGCATAAATGAGGCTTTAAGCTCATGAAGAGGCACTTTGCGCTAGTAGATATACGACCCAGTTCTTTTGAATACTTCGCTAAGGGAAGCCTCTATACCGATATCTATCTGTCTACGACATGTGATTCCTTCTCTTTGCTTAAATATACATTCACAATTTCCTTTGCATCAACGCGGTCAAAAATAACAATTAAGATTCAGCCCATGCGAGAACATGAACGCTCCATTGCTGATATAGTGGGTCTGGATCCATTTAAGCTGTTCACTAGTGAACTCTGCAGGGTCATCAAATTCGTCCTCGTCATAATCGTAGTCGGACCCTTCTTCGTTCGCAATTTCTCCATAAATACCCTTTTCACGCATGAGTTCCCGCAGTATCAATCTGCCCTTTTCGCAGTCCTCATCATTGTAGATATTGAGATCATGTTTACTAAGGAAAGTGCTCTCATTGTCCCAGCAACATTCAAGGAACCTTCTCTCGAATTCTGTGTACGGTGGATTGGTGTCTGTGACCGGCGAACTGGCGCCAGTGGTGCGTTCTAGTATTGATTGCAAGTCTTCGAGATGATCCCCACCTGGACGATCTAGCCCATTTTTGCTCTTCGCTGGGTTCCCAATAACATTTTCGCCCTTTACTGTGCATCCAATAACAGCTGAGCATGTACATTCCGTTCTTTCGAAGTACACTCGGACCCAGTTTCGGACCGCCAGGCTGGTTTCTGACTTTGACACTGTAGAACGGCGCATTAGGTTCAAAGTACGCCATGTTGTTGCAATCGCTGTCACTGATCGTCCCCTTTGCCTCTTCGCTAGGATAAATTTGTACACGATGACCATCAAGGTCCAGTGTGTCTCCAATGACGTTGCAGATGGAATCAGGCACATGCAAGACCTTCTTCAGATGCAGAAAACCGTGGTCAGATACACCAAACTGATTTGTTAAGCGTTCGGTGGGAACCTCCACAGTGCCAACTCCCAATATAGGCAGATATCTAGGGGAACAGAACAGAGAATATTTGATCTGAGAAGTAAAAGGAGTGTAAGTCTTGAACCAGCCTCGATCTTTCGCCACGCTGCTTAGTGTTAGTAGCGCGCTTGTCTAAGTGGCTGGCCTATGCTCTGCTCACTGGACGTTGGAGGCCCGATGCAGGTAGGTCCAATCTAAACAAACTGGCGTACTATCATTAGTAGCCATCTTTATGCGTAAAATTCCCAACAAGAGGTGTGTTAGTGAGTACGTAGGCAAGTGCCAAGACGACGCAAACGAAACAACGCCATGCGGTGTCACATGTCACGTGATACAAATCAGCACTACGCCTCTTTAAACACCGCTCGGGTGTAAGGACCCGTCTAAGGAAAGGCTGAACGACTGCATAGTCAGTTGAGCGCCATTGAAACTGTGTAGATTTAGTATTGTTATTGAATTCGTTCTAGTCTTTTCCTTGCTTACCACTTGTCGAATGTCGTGGGTCTTCGTTACATGGCTAGGCGTTATCTAAAGACAGATATTCCTAACATATGAGTATACCAGGCCGGATACATTACTTAGGTAAAGTGTGGAGGGCGGTATAAGTGCTATAAACTAGGGCGGTAGTACGGGATACGGGTTGCATACTGACATGCAAGTTCTAAGGATGACTAGGCAAATGGATAAAGTACAAGGATGACATATGTGAAAAGTGAATTTAAAAGAGAAAGCTAGGAAGAGTTGAGTTCTTAGTTTCTCTCTTGGCCTTTGGGCGAGTTAAGCTTCGCATGTTGCTTCCTCGTTTCACAGCGACCAAACACCTTAGAATTGGGTTTGTATCGAACTCTATGCTCATAGTGTTGGTTATAGCAAAGGTAGCTAATTAACCTCCAGTATTTGGGAAAAAAAGTACTGTTAATTACGTAGAGATGTCATATCGCAACACGGTAAGTTCAGTTTAGCCTCGTCGTGCCTCGCAATATCCATCTCCAATTTAAGCTATAGGTAAGGAATGCCAGCGTATTAAAACTTATATGAACATTTTTTTTTCCAACAAACTTTTTGAAGCGGAAAGATAGCTATGATCGATTAACTCAAAAGAATCATGCAAAATATGACGGTAACGTCCGAATGTGCTTCTCTTTTGAAAGAAACCTTCATCTAAGTATGTAGAAACTATCAAGCAAAATGGATGCAAAATGTCGGATGAAATCATGAACGCGAGTCTCCCGAAATGTTTCTTTGATTTGGGAGGAAAGATTGCCTTAATAGGATGGATTGATTCTCAGCACTTGACTGGTGTTGCTACTACTTACTGCGACAAGTGTTATAAGTGTGTGCTATGGGAATATTGCAATACGTTATTTTGTCACATGAAAAGTTTGGAATGCTTTTTTCTCCTGTTGAGAGATTTAGAGTGCTAATCAGTGTGGGTTTATTACTTTAGAAATCTTATTAATAGCCTAAAAGAAAATATGTCTATAAGTGCTGATAAGCTCCATAACAGATGCAGGAAATAGGCACGGTCAGGTAAATAGTTCAAAAGATTTGGTTTAATATTGGCAACTGGAATATGGTAATACGATGGCCCGTTTTCATGATCTCCACTTTGGCACAAATTTTGGTTGACCAAGCCACCATGGAGGTCGGCATGAAGAGATGCAGAAGACAACGATATATAAGCTTCATTGTGGTTGCCCAGTTGAATGAGTAGTTAGAGCGATAGCAGCCGAATTTTGATCAAATCAAACGCCCATAGCAAACCGTACTAGTATTGCTGAGAATAGCTTCTAGCTTTGCAAACAATCAAGTCTGAATGATGAGAAGAGCATGGACTACTATCCTACACTGAAAACAAGTATTACTATCTACCATGGAGTGGAGGGCATGAGTATGGAAGATTTTCTTACGATGGTGCACATGAAATTGGTCGGACATGATCCAGGCGGAGATGTATGGTTGAAGCTACTGCTCATGACCTGATCTTGCATGACACTATTATGCATCGTTGCCTTTGTAACCATACTACGACGGTACCTGATTAGCTGATGTAAAATTGTTGAAACGCTAAAATTCAACGCAGTTGGTAATTTGTAATTGGTGCATTGTCGGTGGATCGAAGACCAATGGTGCACAGCGCAAATGCTTCATCTGCTCAGCTTGACATTGCATATATGTAATGCATAAAAGGGTCGCAGCTGCCAAACGATGATTTACACCGCTCCAGTAGACGCACAACATCTTGAGTCGCTGCAGCAGTGCCTGGCAAGGCTAGCTCGGTGTGCTGGCACGGCAGCCCTCTGGCGCAAGATATTTGGCGCGGATCGGCCGTGCGTGTGACGACACGGGCAGCCTCGAGGGGGTTGATACTGGCCAACAAGATGTCTAGGTTGAAGTTAAGGTTTGATAGCCAAGTGCGCCTCGGAGCAGTCACAAAGATTGGTGTAAACATGATGGGGAGGGTAGTTAGCGTCACGACACAGCGTGAGGATTGTTTGGTACGGTATGTATGACAACAGTTCGCATGGCGCTTGCGGGTCGAAAGACGTCGATCACCGCATGGTTGGCGGATGAATCGGCACACAATGAAAAAAAGTAGCTCGCATGCATAGAAGGGTTGCGACATGGTGATATCAGCCTGTGCAGCCCAGTGTCGAGACGGGTTGGGCAGTTGAGTGGGATGACGGGTGGCTGCATGCAGGGGCATCGGCCTGCATTACCTCACCTGCGAGAGTGTGGCGCTTTGTGGCGCCGCCATCTTGAGGCTTGTGGAGTGTCCAGGGGACAGTCAACGGAGAGAGACTCGAGACAGGCAGTGGTCCCTGAGCAGGTGACGTTAGGGGCAGCAAAAACAGGATGATAGCAAGCGCAGACTCGGCAGCGTGGCTAGACTCTCTGGTCGGGTTGACTTTTGACCACCATGACGTTGGTTGGGCGGGACGAAAGAGAAAAGCAGGGTTCAAACTAGCCGTGGCTTGGAGTGACGCACGGGCTCCGAGATCGACATGACTTATGTCCTTACAAGGCAGCCCAGCATGGCGGTGCGCTTCATCACGTGACAAAAATACTCGGACTGCGTCATCGCCAGACAGATCTTCGACACACACATAAATCCTTTCGCCCTGATGCCTCACTTGGCCTGATCCCTCATCCTCCCACACCCTGCATACTACACCTACACCCTAAAACAACGCTCGCCCTTTGCCTCTCCACACCCGACAACCGCAACCATGGGCCTCGGTGGTGCTGCTTTGAAGTTTGGCTCGACCGCCATCTATGCTCTCGAGTTCTGCTGCGCTGCAATCGTCCTTGGCATTTACAGCTACTTCCTCGCTGTACAGGCTGACCGCGATGTCAACATTCCAGTCTGGCAACAGGCCGTCACTGGTCTCTCCGGTGCCGTCGTCCTTTACACCATCTTTGCTGTCTTGTTGACTTGCTGCATTGGTGGAAAGGTAAGAATTCTAAACCCTATCACTCAGGATTGTGTACTGACTATTGGATAGACAATGTTTGCCATGCTTGCAATTCTCTTCAACATCCTTTGCTGCGGTGCCATGATTGCCATCGCCGTTCTGACTCGTGATGGTGCATCCAGCTGCTCTGGCAATGTAAAGACCCCTCTTGGCAACGGTCCTGCACGCTCCAAGCAAGGCTTTGGCTCCAACGGCCAGGGCAACCAGATCACCTACTCTGCTTCTCTGGGCACCACCTGCAGGCTCAACACTGCCTGCTTTGCCGTCGCCATCATCGGTGCCTTCCTCTTTTTGCTCAGCGCCCTCCTTCAGGTAGCCCTCATGCGCCACCACAAGAAGGAAAAGCGCTTCGGTCCCGGCCCTTCCAACGGCTACACCAAGGGCTCCGGCATGAAGTTCTGGCAGCGCAAGAAGGCTCACAGGACCACTGGCAGCCGTGACCCTGAGGTTGCTGCCGTGCCTGCTGCCACTGGTGGACTTGCTGCTCCTAATGGTACCCACGACTACCGCCCCAGCCACGATACTGCCTACACTGGCTCAACTGTCGCATCTCCCAACGCCGGCTATGACAGCCACAAGCCTGTTGGCTCTGGCTACCACACCGCCCCTACTAGCAACTACGCTATCAACGGTAACACTGCTACCTACGGAAACACCGCTACCAACTATTAAGCGAAATAAATACATCAAATACCGGATGTCAGCGTCGCTCTAGACTCATTAGTCAACGTGCTTTTCAGCACAAATTTTCCTTAACTGTACTTAACGACTTTGACGCATTACACTATACCACACGTAGGCGGAGATTGAATTGGAATACATGGCGGCAGAATTGAATAGCCGATGTAAACTTGTATGATAGGGCGATACGATATCTAATAATTAATGACAATATCCACACAACGATGCCATGATTTCTCATTATGATGATGATACTGCAAGACTGCGAACCAATGCATTTGCACAACCTGTGACAAAGAGGAAGCGAGATATTATCCTGGAGTGCTTCGAGTTTTACCCAATCCTGGCGTTTTCATATTGGTATTCAACGAATTATTTTACAATAGTTCGATGTTCACTTTTCGAGCTCGAAAACAATACACGATATTCAGTCTGCACGGTGTTCATCTGGTGGATTGTCGGAGCCACTCAGCGCGTGGCTGAATAATCCAATTAACGTCATACTTTGTTTCGCCCGAGTTCGCGAAACTTTCCGTCTCTCATCTTCGCACCCTACCATTGCGACAATACACACTACCTGCTACATACAACACCTGGATTTATCCCTAGCAATGACCTCAAGCACAATTCCTCGCTCTGCTCTGCGCGCCCTTTCGCGCGCTGCGCCTTTGCGAAGCACAGCGCCACGCATTGCCACAAGATGCATGCACCAACGATCATCGCCCATCACAACCTCACAGCTTCAACATAGACCAACAGCGCAACAATGGACACGGAAAGTAGCTGCGCCTTCCACGGTCGTTGCACGTCGAACAATGTTCATCCAAACCGAGCCAACGCCAAACGCCGATGTATGCATGCCCCGCCTTGTTCCACTACCGTTCTCCTACTGACAGCGGCCAGGCATTGAAATTCAATCCCAACCAGCGAGTTCTTCCTGAAACAATATCGTCGCCTTTCCTCGAATATCTAAACCCGCGCTCGACTCTCGCACCCCCACATCCTTCTCCGCTAGCGGCCCAACTACTCAACATCGACGGCGTAACGAGCGTCTTCTTTGGCGCAGATTACATTACCGTAACAAAAGACTCGGCAACGCCATGGAGTCACATCAAGCCTGAGGTATTCGCTATCATTACCGAATTCATGACATCTGGATCACCAATTGTCAACACCGTGGCTGCGAAAGCTGGAGAACAAGGTCAAGGTGGTCAAGAAGCCGACAGTCTGGCCTACGATGAGAACGATGACGAAGTAGTTGGAATGATCAAGGAGCTGCTCGAGACGCGCGTCCGGCCCGCGATCCAAGAGGATGGTGGTGACATTGAATTCCGGGGCTTCAACGACGGCCAGGTTCTCTTGAAGCTGCGCGGTGCGTGCCGGACTTGCGATTCGAGTACAGTAACGTTGAAGAACGGAATTGAGAGCATGCTGATGCATTACATTGAAGAAGTCAAGGGGGTACAACAGGTTTTGGATCAGGAAGAAGAGATTGCAATGAAGGAGTTTGCCAAGTTTGAGGAGAAGTTGAGACAGCAAAAGGGCGAGGATGCAGTCAAGGGCACGGTTGGCAAGGGCAGTTTGGATTATGTCGAGTAAGTTGGCGCGTGAAGAGGAGTAGACGATGGGAGATGATGTTCAACCGATACCAATGCATTCATTTTGGATTCTCAAAACTACAAGTACATGTCTATAACACAAGCCATATGCACAAATATGTAACATATCCAAAATTCAGGCTGGCATTGTGTGATGGGGTATTACCAAGTTGCGAGGAGCAGCGTGAGTTGAGCAAAGAGTAGTAAAACAGCGAGAGCAAGTGTAATTACCAAGCAGCTGAAGGCAAGAGACCCATTTGAAGAACAATTTAGTAATAACAGGCAGAGACGAGATGCGGGGAAAGGGAGAAAAAAGGAAATCCAAACGTCAGCAGTGGGGTATCCAACGTACGCTCATGCAGATGGAGTCAAAAAGGAAAAAAGGAAGAAGCGAAAAAAAAGAAAAGCGAAAAAAGAAATGACGCCGACATCCATCAATCATATCCTAGCCCCTAGAGACATACTCTGAGCCACATCGTCATAACCCTATTCGTAAACCCAATCATTCACACACCTCCATCACCCAACCTCCATCCCACATTACCGATGAAAAAAAATCTCCCCCAACGAAAGCAAAAAAAGGTGAGTTGAACAGAAAAAGAAGAACCAGAAAAAAAACAACAACACGAAGAAACTGGAAATGGAAAAAAAGGAAAAAACCTCGTACGCGTAAGACATTGCAAGATGACAGCCGTAAATGCTCATTCCACATCATCGTCATCATCATCGTCGTCGTCGTCGTCGTCGTCGTCGTCGTCGTCGTCGATCATCAATCAATCAATCAAATCATTCTTCAAGCAACAACTCGGACATTGCATCCAGGGCCTCACCAATCGAAGCCCAGAAGCTGCGTCGAGGAGGCGAGCGGATAATGGTGATTAGACGGCGTTTGGTTTGGCGTATAACAGGAGGAGTGGCAGCAGTAGGACGACGAGGGGTGGCGTGGTAAGTATCATCGCCGTCGTGGTCTTCTGAGGTAAGGTTATGTACAGCGCTGCGGACGAGTTTGTTATATTCGTTGTGGATTTCCCGGGATACGTCTTGGCTGATATCGTCGTCGTCGTCGTCGTTGACAAGGGTCTGCCAGCTGTCCATCATGCCGAATTTTCTGGTTGTGGAGTCGTCTTTGTGCTCGATCGCTTTGTCATTAATACCGGGTTCTTTTTTTCCTCCTTGGTTTCGTAGAGGTGAGTTGTGTCCCGGTTCATCCTCCAAGTCTACAATCTTTGCGATTTTGAAGTCTTTTTCACCGCTACTGGTGTTACCGCCGGTAGTGTCACCGCCGGTACCGACACCGCCACTTCTTTCGAGCTCCTCGCGCATAGTTTGACGGACGGTCTTCATCTGTTTACGCAGGTCATTGATGACATCTAGCTGGATGCTATTCAGCGTCTTGACTTCATCCAGGCGCTTCCGCAGCTCGTCAACGTATTTTTGTACGCTGTTGACATAGTTGCCTACTTCCGCAACATACGACTGGTGGTACAGCCTTTTTGCTTCGGCAAGGTCATCTTTGCCGTCGTCTGCGTGCATGATACCAGCCCCCTGGTTGAAATGTGAAGGATACTGTGTACCCGTTTCATTCTCATACGATTCTGGAGCTGAAAGACGCATTGCCATGGCCTCAAATTGCCCTACAATATATTCCATCTGATCTTCGTCTGGCTGCTGCGACTGGATCAAATCCTCAAACTGCGCAATACAGGCGGATAAAGCATCCTGGACGGGCGATAAAGCGGGATCCGAGTAGTCGTCCCATGGTGGCGGGGAAGTAGGGATAATAGTGTGTCGACGCAATATTTGGGAGCTATCAGGCGTGTAGGGGTAGCGTGGTACGGCCCTTGGCTGTGAATATGGCTCGTCAAGGTGGTACTGTTTTTTGGGCGTATACGGAAGGGGTTCGGTAAGACGGGAACTGAGTTTCGGCCGTGAGGCTGTGAACGGGGTTCTTGGACTATAGGTTTCGGTCATCCACGAGGGTTGCTCGTGCACACGGTCAGTATCGTTTAGCCAACGCTGCTCTTTCCTAGCATATCGCGAGGGTGAATTTCCATATAGGTTGAGATGGCTTGGGCGAGTGCGAGCATATGGTCGGTCTTCGATCTCTGGCGGTGTCCATGGCCGCTCCAGGCTGCGTGGAATTTCCATGGCGCTATCGCAGCGGCGCGAGGGCCGCATACTTCTCTTGTACTCCGCAATAAATCTGCACGACTTTCCCGATACTCCCAAGAATGCTGCCAGCCAAAACGTGCGATGTGCGGTGAAACGTGAAACTTGGACAGGTCCGAGTTGGCAGAGAGAATAGGGTTCGCCCTAAGTGACGTGCGTATAGCCGCGGCACCCATGTGGCCTCGAAAGAAACCTGGGCGACTCAGCCGCGCGAAGTGGGGTGGTTGGAGTCCCTCTATCGATAGCAATTTACTTCGGGATATTGACCCTTCCGATTGGACAGGCCATCAACAATTGTGTCTTCAGTACACTTTGCGACTACCCTTTGTGACACATACATTCCTCTTCTTATACGTTCACAAGATTCGCAGAGCGTTCGTTCTACACTTCAGCAGTTATGGCGCCACAGGTATGTCCATAATGAAGCCAATGACGTGACACCAAGCTGAGCGCATGACCACAGCAGCTAGGCATTCAGCCATCGCTTGACACCGTTCGAGAAGTATTGGCCACATCGATCAAATCTCCCAATCCACCGAACCTGGTGCCCGTGTACTCCTCGATTCCCGCCGAGTTTCTCACGCCGTCGAGTATATATCTGAAGGTCTCCGCAAAGTGAGTATGACTCATGCGATATCTAAGCAGGCAGCGCGAGGAACGGCAGCGCACAAAGAGGACAAGGAGGCGGGGTAGATTGGAGGGACACGGGGCATAAGCGATGGTAGAAGAGGGCTTGGGGACATTTGTGCTGACTGTCTTGGCTCAGATCAAAGTCGAGGCTGTCGTTTCTTTTCGAGAGCGCCGCAACTACCGAGACCATAGGACGGTACAGCTTTGTTGGGGCAGGTCGGTACTTGGGAGCAAATGTTTCAGACACGGCAGCTAACAACAAGCCTTTAGACCCTCGAAAAGTTATTAAGACAGGCCCCGGCCATGGCGAAGAGACCGATCCACTGCCTCTGCTTGAAGAGGAGCTCGCAAAGAGCCGTGTCGCGACTGTCCCCTCAATACAACTACCTCCCCTGACCGGTGGCGCTGTGGGATACGTTGGATATGACTGCGTCAAATACTTTGAACCCAAGACAAGACGAGATGACATGAAAGATGTGCTGGGCGTACCCGAGAGCCTCTTTATGCTCTTTGATACAGTGGTTGCATTGGATCATTTCGCGCAGGTTGTCAAGGTGATAACATACGTCAAGGTTCCAGATAGCCTCGACAATCTCGAGGCGGCGTACGAAGAAGCCAGGAGCACACTGCAAAGATATGTGACAATACTGAAGGACAAGGATATTCCGTTGCCAGAGCAAGGGCCGATCAAGTTGGGCAACGAGTATACGTCGAACATTGGACGAGAGGGATATGAAAACCACGTCAAGGAGCTCAAAAAGCACATTAGCGTTGGCGACATCATCCAGGCGGTGCCGTCGCAACGATTTGCAAGACCGACCTCATTGCACCCGTTCAATGTGTACCGGAATCTGCGAAGCGTTAACCCATCGCCATATCTATTTTTTGTCGATTGTGACGAATTCCAGATTGTGGGCGCCAGTCCCGAGCTGCTGGTCAAGGAGGAGCAGGGTCGCATCATCACGCACCCGATTGCCGGGACTGTCAAGCGGGGCAAGACACTGCAGGAAGATGCAGCACTTGCGGAAGAGCTCTCTCAGTCACTCAAGGACCGAGCAGAACATGTGGGTTTTTCTGACGACAAGCCGCATGCAACGACGTTGAAGCTTACCAGTATTTTGGCAGGTCATGTTGGTGGACTTGGCTCGCAATGACGTCAATCGTGTGTGCGACCCACTTACCACTCGGGTGGACAAGTTGATGGTGGTGCAAAAGGTAAAGCGTTTCCGCCCTAACCGTGATCGCCAAGTGTGGTGTGATGAGAGCAGGGTGCGATGGAGCCAAAGCGGGAATGACGATGCTAACGAAATGGAAACCAGTTTTCGCACGTGCAGCACCTGGTGTCGGAAGTATCTGGCGTACTGCGACCTGGCAAGACGCGATTCGACGCGTTCCGCTCGATATTTCCCGCTGGTGAGTAGCGCCACCGAAAAAAACCTGAAAGTGGGCTAACGAGTCGGAGGAACGGTGAGCGGAGCGCCCAAGGTTCGCGCCATGGAACTCATCGCCGAGCTGGAGAGGGAAAAACGCGGTGTGTACGCCGGCGCAGTGGGCTACTTTGGCTATGGCAGCGTTGATGGCGAGAGAGAGATTGAAGGGGCCATGGACGTGAGTGCTATCACAGTGTTGCTTGAGGCTGACAAGGAGGCTGATGTGTGCAGACATGCATTGCGCTAAGAACGATGCTGGTCAAGGACGGCATCGCCTATCTCCAAGCAGGGGTAAGTCCGAGGACATGTATCGCGCGGGCAGGTTGATTGGGAGCTAATGATTTGTCACAGGGAGGCATAGTGTTTGATTCGGACCCGTATGATGAGTGGATGGAGACTATCAACAAGTTAGGTGAGTTTATTAATGGCGGCTAAGTAGCAATCTGGACGGCGATGGGCGCAATTAGCTAACGGAGTGGTTGGGATAGGCGCAAACACGCATTGCATCACGTCGGCGGAAGAGAAGCATCTGGCCGAGCAGAGGGAGGAGGGTGAAGGGGCGTAGGAGAGGGGTGCGGGAGAAAGAGGGGGACGCAGAGGAGACGCAGAGGAGACGCAGAGGAGATGCAGAGGGGCGGGAATTCCCTTGAGGCTGGTTAGACTGCGCCACAAATGGTGGTCTGTGTACCCACCGCATGTACCCTCTCTCGTTGGTGTATGCAGGTAGTAGGAGAGTTGGAAGGGAGGAGAGGGACTAGTGATTGGCGGGCAGGGTGGAGATCGGCGGCGCCTAGATCTGAGCAATTGGGGTGGCAGTCGTGGGGAAGCAAGATTGATTTCGCAGCCAAGGGTGCGTGGGAGCATGGATGGACGGCACATCGTCGTCTGTGTGAAACGGAGACGAGGGGCAATCTGGTGGCCAGGGCAGCGGGCACGGCAGATGTTTGATCAAGGCAGAGCAAGAACACCAATGGTTACGGCGTCACGGCTAAGTGGCTGTGGTGGGTGCAATTAAGATTTGAGCAATTTGGCCGTGTTCCCGCTTGGTGTCGGTCGCACGGGCGCGAGCGAGCGAGGGAAGATTTGGCGGTGATGATGATGATGATGGTTGCCATGACGAAGTGGAGCAAGGGCGGGCGGGCGAGGGAGCGAGCGACGAAGCGAGCAAGCCAGCAGGTCGGCCAGCAGGTAAAGCAGGACACACGGACAGTGTGCAAGTGAGTGCCATGACTGACAGCGCGTGAGTTGGCCGTCGTGCTGCAGTCAAGCTACATCATAGGGAAGGCGCGCCCGGCCCGACACCCAATCACCGTCGCGCCTGCCCGTTCTCGTTCCTTGGATAGGCGCATGGGTGCGGATCATGGGGCCCGTGCCCTGGGGCTGGGATGGCCCCTGCCACTGCAGAGCCCGTTGTGCGTGAAAGCTGGGCAGTACCTTCTTGTACCAGCCACGCTCCTCTCTGGTTTGTTGTCACTGATATAAACCTCACCGAGCTCCCCTCTGCTCTCACTCCTCACCCCTCTCGCAACCACATCTTCAGCTTCTGCAAAGACTTGTCTGTCTCAATTCCTCCTCAATTCCTCATATCAGCTTCTATCACAACATCCCTCCACCCCTCCACCTACCCACAGTCAAGATGAAGTCTTTCGCCGTCCTCGCTGCCGCCTTTGCCGGTGCCGCTTTCGCCCAGGACATGCCCACTGGAGACTGCGCTGTAAGCTTTTTACCAATTGGCTCCTCACTGACCCATTCACCAATACTGACTCTCACTTAGATGCTCTGCGTCAACAACATGGCCCGCATTGCCCAGTCTGAGTTCTCCTGCGGCGACGACATTGCCTGCTTCTGCAGCCGCTCCAACTGGGCCTTCGGTATCCGTGACTGCTCTCGCCAGGCCTGTGATGCCGAACAGTCTGCCAGCGCTGTCCAGTGGGCCTATGCTCGCTGCGCCGGTATTGCTGCCACTGCCAGCGAACAGCCCGCCGCTCTTCCCATTCTCACCTCTGCCGTTGCTAGCGCCACTGCCTCTGGCGGTAACGCTGCTTCCAGCGTCGCCTCAGGTGCCTCATCTGCTGCCTCTTCCGCTGCTTCGGACGCCTCATCCGCTGCCTCCTCCGTAGCTTCGGATGCTTCGTCTGCTGCCTCCGGGGTTACCTCTGCCGCCAGCTCTCTTGCATCTGAGGCTTCTGGTCTGACCTCTTCCATCCTCTCCGAGGCCAACTCTGAGCTTTCATCCCTTCAGTCCCGCGCTAGCGAGGTCCTGTAAGTTGACACTCTTCACACACACACACCAACAACCAACTAACAATTACATAGTTCATCCGCCACTGAGGCTCTCTCCTCTGCTACTGGAGCTGCTGGCTCTGCCGCCTCCTCTGCCGCCTCTGCCGCCTCCACCCAGGCTGAGGGTGCCGCCCCCAAGGCCACCGGCATGTCCATCGCCGCTGGTGCTGGTATTGCCGCCTGGCTCCTTCTCTAAGCGCATCACATCATATCTTACCAAAGGCCATCACCTAGTGGAGTAATGTGTGTAATGACTAAGGTTATGGGTCGGTAATGGACGGTGGCCTTTGGATAGTGGATGGGTGGGCTGGTTTGTTTTCTCTCCTAATGAACACTGACGAGAGAGCATGATGATTATGACGACTGAGTAATGCTATTCTGAGCATTCGATTTGATACCCCGACACGGGATTTGTAGATAGTACATCAATGATAATACTTCTTACGATGCTTTATTGTACCCCTTGATTCTTCCTTGCTCTTGTGATGACAGCTGCTTTGATTGGAAATTGCATATGGTTGGTAGTAGTCCATTATCCTTTGTCGTGGCTACGATGTACATGTAGTTGGGGAGGATGGCGTTGGTGTCGGATACTTTGTCGACGAAGTTGGGATGAGGTCGAGTTGAAGCTTCTCTGACACAGCCTCGATGGGCGGGATTCCCCTGCATGTCTGCCACACTCACGTGATGTGACATCTCTTTATCTCCGCAAACCAATCCACCCCTCGTCCCGTCAAGTTGCGTCGCATCACATCGCATCGCCTTGCCTTGCATCGCCTTGCATGGCTATCTATATCATATCTCATCCGACATATAAAGGGTGAAAGCATGGTACAATTTGAGTGCTTACATGGTCCGTGTGTCTGACCGTTGGAAATTGTTCCGTCCGTACCATCGTTTGCGTGGCTGAGCTTCATTCGTATAACTCTAATCTTACCACTTTTTTTTATTACGCGTAATCTGATCACATGAACACGCAATAACAAGGGAGTCTTTCTTGCCGCTTGGGGGATCCCCACATGTTCATGTCTATACTCTATCTTTTCGTAATACGGAGGCATTATCCTTGTTCCGTTATTTTTTTTTTGGGGGGGGGGGGAGACATGAACCCCACTTTCCTCCGTTTGGCTTCAGCCACGGGCGGGTATATGGGTGTGTGTGTGAGTGGTGGTGGTAGGTGTGGCTGGTGAAGATTTGCCGGGGACTTCCGGGGATAAGACCTTGAGGCATCCAGGCGTAGGAACGTGGGGGGAAGGGGGGACTGCAGGCAGTGGCTGAAATTTGCATCTACGTATTTTGGCAAGTGTGGCTTGGAGATGGTTGGTGGGGGACACGTGATGGGTAGGTAGTATGTACGTTCCAATATGTAGACCTCTCTCTCTCTCTCGCATGGTGTAGGTAGATAGGGGGAAAGACTCACGATATGACTAAACTGAGCTCGGGAGATGAGTACCATTGGAAAGGAGGAGTCTAGGAAGATACGAAATATTAGATGAGGAGAGAGTGATGTTGTGGAATTAAATCTGTGCGGAAATTCAGCAGTGTTGGGGAGGCGAAACCCTTGCACCCTTAACCAACGTCAGTCTCAACGCCCTGACAATGGACAAGCATCTGCGTTGCTTTAGAGAACGGTCATTGCAATGCCACCCTTTGAATACGCACTGTAGTGAGTTCGAGGTTAGGACGTTCATACAACTACATGTCGTCTCTCTTAAAGGGGCAAGACCACGTGTCAGACGCGTCACCCATCCCACCAAAGCCATTACGCTCTGCAACGCAGAAAAGGCATGTATTAAATGTCGTTCCGACTTGCACATCTATCAAGCACTACTGCATCCCTTCCTAACATTAATATGACCTTGCACCGGTCCTCACATCCCTCTATGCACTTATGTGTGCATCACAACTTCGCCCTTGCATCATTCACCCGATTTCCCTGCTGATCAAAGACGATCTTCTTACCCGTCTTCAAGCTATCCTGCAGAGCAACTCCAATCTTGACTGCCTCCATTGAGCTCTCAAGATCAACTGGCACCTCCTTGTTATCCAGCACAACATCGGTAAACTGCCTTGCCTCTTCCACAAACGCCTGCTCAAAGCGCTCGTAGTAGTTTTGCGGAATCTCCCTCACAATACCCGCATTCGTATGGCTTTCCAACAATCCCGTCGCAGGGTTTGAATTGACTGCGAGTTTTCCCTTTGTACCGATAATCTCCGTCGTGTCGTGTTGACCAGAGGCGTTCATGCGCGTACTGTAGAAGTAGGCAATTTGGCCAGAGTGGAACTCAACAATACCCACTCCATTGTCCACATCGCCGAACTTTGCTAGGTCGGGCTCGAGTGCTGTAACGCCGACGGCCATGACCGACTTGACTCTCGGCAGGACTTTGCCCTTTGACTCGGCGGAGAAGTACCACAAGGCAAGATCGATATCGTGAATGTTGCAATCGACAAAGATGCCGCCAGAGAACTCGGCGTATGATACGAAGAAGCCGGAGGGATCGTACCTGTGGATTGTTGTGTTAGTGTAGGAACAATAGGGACTTAAGGGATGCTACGTACTTGTCGCATGTTTGTGATCGCAGGATTGTGGGACGTCCAATGCTACCGTTCAAAGCAACATTGTACGCGTTCAAATAGGACGAGTCGAAGCGACGAGAGAAGCCGCACATGACCTTAACGTGAGAATGGCGCTTTGCGGTTTCGAGAACTTTGCGGCACTAGGCCTGTTGTAAGCTGTACATCCTTGGAAGCAGTGAGGTGAGTGATTACTTACCTCATCCAGTTTAGTACTGAGTGGCTTCTCACACAGTACATGCTTGCCAGCTTCAATTGCTTTGATTGTCTGTTCAGCGTGGACCGTGGTGACTGTTGCTACACAGACAGCCTCAAGGCCCTCATGTTTCAACATCTCATCGTAGTCGGTATAGATCTTAACACCCCAGGGCTCAAGGTTCTCCTTCGCCCAAGCAAGTTCCTTCTTGTCTGGTGTAAAGGCTGCTACAAGCTCAGCCCTGGGCGTGCGGTGAAGGAAGTGGTTTGCGTGACGGGCACCCATCCGGCCAAGGCCTGAGACGGCAACACGGAGTCTGCGGATCGTTGGGGTCATTGTGAAGGAATTTTTAGATGAAGTGTATGAACAATGGGTCAAGGAGAGATTTGAGGGAGATGTAGAAGGTTGTTCTCTTCACAGCCAGCAAAATAGGAGTCAATTTGAACGTCTACGGGAATAGATCGACTTGCAATCGTCGTAACACATGTTGGTCAAAGCTTTGCTCAGGGTCCAAAAACTGTCCTCGGAGGCATCAAGGAGAGAATCTTCCACCTATTTCGTCATGTCTCCCATCTTTCTATGACACATGCAACCGAATTCTAATCACTGCGCTCGGAAGTACGGCTACCTCTTCCTAACCAGATTTCCAGACGATGAGCCAAGTTTCCCCACGACAAGCAGCTCACGATGTTCAGATAGGCCAGTTGCACTAGATAGCGAGAAGAAAGCATAGAACCGGTCGTTGTAGTACGGAACTATACATGATGTTGACGAAAATGTGGGGGAGTACGTGGAGTTGTATCGCGCCAGAGGCAGCTCTGGGGTAGGACAAATGGGGAAAATTTCCCCGTTTGGCAACTGGAGCTAATGGTCCAGTGCAACAACAACAATTACAACAACAACCTGCAGTAGTACATCGCGTACCTATTCTGGTGTAATACGGAATTTTAAATTTGGTAGCCTGAAAGGAATGCGTCGGAGAAAACCCCGAGAGTCGAGGTTGAACGGAGTTTCCAGTTGCAAGCGGCCCTCCTCGTATCTTTCTGACCGGTTGACTAGGTGTTTCATGCATATTTTACGTTATTTCGATATTGGAGTGTCATGAAAGCAATCATATCTCGGCTTGGTCAAGATTTCTCTTTATGGGCTACGCAAGCAGTGTCAGAAAAGATTACGATGCAAATATATTGAACTTCTTACTACAGCGCCCTGAATGCTAAACTCTTTAATTGATACAAACTTTTTCCAAGACTCGCCTATGCTTCATCGCTAGTCTCAAGTACAACCTTGATGACAAGATTACCCTTGTCATCTTTGGTCTTACCGGCCATCTCAAATGCCTCCTCTGCCGATTCGAGACCTTTGTATCTGTGTGTCACCAACTTGCCAAAGTCGGGATAGTCGTCTCCCTTCTTTGACACAACCTCAATACCAGTGGGGTAAGTGTTGGCGTATCGGAAGACACCCAAGATGTCTACTTCGCGAAGGGCGGCTGCAGAGATGGGGAGGGTCTGGATCGGTGTGCCCATTCCAATTAGGAGAACCTTTCCGCCAGGTCGCGTAGCCTGCATTTCTTCTTAGTCACTGATTGAAAGGAAGATTAGACTAGTACTTACGAATATCGATGCTTGCACACATGACGGCACACCAGTGCATTCGAAAACTGCATCAACCTCACCCACTTCTCCGCCGCTCTCTTTTGTGATCTTGCCAATCTCGGCAGCTACCTCTTTGGCAATGTCGAGTTGCTCTTCTATGGTGTTTCCACGCTTCATGGGTACGGTGAAGCTTCGGTGCGCAAACTTGTTGTCGACTGCGAATTGCACTCGTCCAGAGTCAATGTCTGCTATTACCACTGTGCCCGCACCGGAGATCTTTGCCATGGCTGCTACAAGGATGCCAACGGCGCCAGCTCCAAATACCAACACTGTTGAGCCGGGTGCTAGCTGTGCTCGTTTCGAAGCCTGGATAGCTACGCCCAGAGGCTCAAGGAGGGCTCCTAGATCTAGCGACATGTCATCGGGCAATCTGACAACTATTAGCATCGATGATATCCTATGCGATTCCAGGAACTCACTTATGACACCACGCAGCCGGGTGGTTGATGCGGTCTTGCAGCGTTCCCTGCGCATGAGGAAAGGCCTTTGCACTACTCCTGAACTTCATGCCCTTGCAAATATTGTACCGTCCCTCTTTACACCTATCACAGTTCTCGCATGGTTGTCCGACCTCGAGCGCAACTTTGTCTCCGACTTTGAAACCGGATGCCTCTGAACCCACGCCTACTACAACGCCAGCTGATTCATGCCCAAGCGACATGGGCTCTCGCACAATGATGTCGCCATTGCGGTAGTGTCGGTAGTAGTGGAGATCGGAACCGCAAAGACCAGTGCTGCGAACGCTGATCTGGAGCTCTGTTGGCGAGGGCGGGGGGAGTGAGCGGTTCTCCTAGGATTGAAGTCAGTATGATCACACATGTAAAGAGATATGCTGACGTACGATTCGCAAGTCCTTTGCGCCATGAAGAACAGAGGCACGGATCTGCCTCGCATCCTGATTAACGTCTGATGTTTGTTCCGAAGACATGGTCTCACTCTCTTGATTTTAGATTAATGTAAACAAGGAAACACGATGGAGTCTGGGGTGTGGATTGGGGAGAACGAGTGTCAGGGAAGACAGGTGACAAGTCAAGTCATCGCATGCGCCTCGGAACCCACTACTGACCAAACATTCGGCGCGTATTCCCCCATGGCACATGGATCGTTGTGGAGAGAAATTCCGACCTTCGGCGTTTGAAATGGCGGGACAACAGATGCCGACACCAAGGGTGGGGTCATGTTCCGAGACTGTTCCGAGCTACCAAGCATGATTCTGGGATTGAGCGCCGTCTTCTTCTTCCGTACATCCCAAAACACTTTTTGAGGCATTTAATCTTGGTTCAGAAAGTACCAGAACTAGTTATTGGTGTGCGTAAAGCCCTTTACCTATTGATATCAACGTTATTCGGTTCCATTTCTCCACCAAAGCCTTCCGAATCTCCATCACGAAGCAAAGACCCAGAGCCACCATGACGTCCGTCAACCAGCTCTTCTCTCTCGAAGGCCAAACCGCCCTGGTAACAGGCGGAACGCGAGGAATCGGTCAATCCATGGCCATTGCGCTCGCAGAAGCAGGAGCAGACATTCTTCTTGTCCAGGTAAGCTCTCTCTATGTCCACAAACTCGAAGGATACAGATACACTAACACGCAAGCCCAGCGCGACACTTCGAACCAATCCACCAAGCAAGCAATTGAATCGCTCGGTCGCAAAGCTACAATCTACACCGCAGATCTCGCTTCCAAATCCTCTGTCGCCGCGCTGCTCCCCACTATCCTCAAAGACGGCCACAGGGTACACATCCTGCTCAACTGCGGCGGAATTCAAAGGCGCCACCCTGCACACCAATTTCCAGACGACGACTGGGAAGCCGTACTCCAAGTCAACTTGACCTCTGTATTCCAACTCGCGCGCGATGTAGGCGCGCATATGCTCGCTCAAAACGCCGATCTGCCACTGGGACGACGCGGCAGTATTATCAACGTTGCGTCGCTCTTGACTTTCCAGGGTGGCATTACGGTACCTGCATATGCGGCGTCAAAGGGTGGTGTTGGTCAGCTTACCAAGGCGCTTTCGAATGAGTGGGCCAGCAAGGGTATTAGCGTCAATGCTATTGCGCCTGGGTACATTGCGACGGATATGAACGAGGCGTTGATCAAGGATGAAAAGAGGGCTGAGAGCATTCTGAGCAGAATTCCTGCTGGGCGATGGGGAAGCCCCGAAGACTTCAAGGGCGCCGTGGTGTTCTTGGCTAGTGCCGCGAGTGCATATGTGAGTGGTGAGGTTCTCACGGTTGACGGAGGCTGGATGGGTAGGTGAAATCTAGGTAATGTTATAGAAGCTAGGTTAGAGAACACCCTGAGTATGATCGATCTTTCTAATTTTCACTCATATCAATCAATGCAACGTCTATCAAGAGTTCCTGGCGGTGTCGTATTCATAATATATTATATTGGGTATAGCTTCTAATTTTTTTCTAACTCATTTCCTACAATTTGACCTTCTCAGAGAGTCAAGGACCACTGAGGTCAACGCCATCAGGCTTGTCAGGGAAGCCAAGATCGATACCGAAGGGTGGGTATACGTAACGTTGGATACCCTTGTCCTTGTGGATCTTATCCAGCTTCGCCATGTCGTCGCTATCGAGCGAGATGAGGTTCTTGTTCTCATCGATACGCGAGGGGGTGACGGACTTTGCGAGGACGGATGAGTTGCGGGCGACTCGAGAAAGTTAGTATGTTTCATGGCAAAAACTGCATCGAAAGACTTACGGTGGTAACTCAGGAGAATGACGGCGGGTCCAACGCTGTGCTTTTTCGCGACCTCGTTGATAACCTCGTCCTTGAACAGCGGCGAGCCAGTGCTGCCGAGCGGGCTGTACGCGGAGACGTGGATGCCCTTTTCTTTGCAGAAGTCGTAGACCTCTTGTTGTGGGCACAATGGGTGGTTCTCGATCTGGTTGACGGCTGGGACAATGGTGGCTTTGGCGAGGAGCTTCTCCAAATACCTGACGGAGTAGTTGGCAACACCAATGGCCTTGACCTTTTCAGGATGTGTTTGGATGAGCTTCTCCATGTTCTTCCATGTGTCTTGGTGAGTCATTGAGCGGTCGATGTCGCGGGAGCCGTCCTCGAGCATTGGGAAGAGAGGGTGGCTGCCTATATCTGTGTTAGCTTGTTTGATGCTTCAGTCTTTGTGCAACTTACCATTGGGGTTCATGGGCACCGGCCAGTGTACAAGGAACAGGTCAACGTAAGGTGTTTTGAGCAGGTCCAAACTCTTTTGCAGTCCCTCCTCGACACGGGAGTGGAATGTGCACCAGAGCTTGCTGGTAATGAAAAGATCTTCTCTCTTCACAACACCCCGCGAAATGACATCCTGAAGGGCGTCGCCAACCTCGTCCTCGTTCTGGTAGCAGAAGGCGCAGTCAATGTGCCTGTAGCCGCTCTCAATGGCATGGACAACGGCCTTCTTGACTTCACCAGGCCCAGACTTCCACGTTCCCAGACCGAGGGCGGGGATGGTGGCGCCCGTGTTGAGGGGGATAGGAGTGTTCATTTCGGGCTGAGGGTCGAGGATACTCTTTGGTGTACTCTTCAGCATAAACTTGGAAAGGGCAGGATTCATCGTAAAAGGGCCGGGGTGGTGCTGCGATATATATGTGCGTAGCTGTGCCGGCGGGGTGGTTGGCAAGGACGAGCTACGTAGGGTTTGCTAGGGGGTCTCCATGTTGTAGCTAGTACCTGGACGGTTCTGGTATGGTCAAAGACTTACGTCGACCGTGATTGACTCTATAATTGTTCCCGAAGTCCGCTGCTGCCCCGCCAAGCAGCTCTGTCGGAGTAGCTTCGGCCCGCGGCCGGAGACGAGGTAACTAATACTCCTAGTGCGCATTCTCGTTGCTCTCCCAGCCTCACGTGAAAATAGTCTTGGAGGGAGGGAGAATGATCCATAAGTAGACGTGGCCCAGACGTTGGCGACGGTTCGTGGGGTTGGGTCGGGGAAGAGCACACCGAGCATCACGTGCATGGCGGGGCAGACGCTTGGTCGTCATCATGCAGCATCTCCGCCTGATCAATGATTCTTTTCCGTCTCGTATTGCAAACAGTCCAGAACAGGGTGGGCCGGCACTTGTCACGGAGCGCCGAAAATTACCGTGTTGAGGTGGGCGCGGGCCTTTTTGCCTCGTCTTACCCCATAGGATGCACCATGACATGCCAACAAGACATTGCACCCGAACAGCGGCAGATCTAACCCCAACGCCCAACCACCGTCGCCGGATTGCCATCGGGGACCCTTAGCCGTCCATGCTGAGACCCTTAGATCTGCTCGTGGCAGCTCAACGGCAGTTTGGCAGACGGCGAAAGTTACCTTGTGGGACGTCCTTGTCCCCATTTAGCTCATAATTGCGGAGACTCCTCATCCAAGAGTGGATCTTAGTAACGGAGAAGACGAGAACTCTGCCTCACCAGGACTCGTTCTGGGGTTTCTTCGGTAGTAATCTTTTTTTACTGATTATGGCAATTCAAGGCTTTGTAGTGTGAGGGGTACAAGAGGATAAGTACTAGCTAATTCTCGTCGGATTCCATCACAATCCCATCAACCAAACTTTCACTCTACACTGCTGTCTTGAATTTGCTTTTCACAGCACAGACTCTGTCTTCACTTAAATTTTGCTTTGAGATACCCCCATTCTGTTGATACACAAGCACATCTTCCAAAATGGCACCAGGTGCAATCTTCGAGACGCCAAACGTGGCCGAGGACTTCAACAACCACCGTGATGGACTTGCCCTCGAGGCCACCTCCGATGCCATCGACGACGTCAACGTCCTCAAGGCTGCTCTGAAAGTCAAGAACGGCACAGCTTCACCAGAGGAAAAGGACATCTACGAGAAATCAGAATTCGATGCCGACAAGGACAAGACACAGTTCCGCCAGTACGAAGAGGCCTGCGACCGAGTCAAGAACTTCTACCGCGAACAGCACGAGAAGCAGACCGTAGCCTACAACCTCAAAGCCCGCAACTCGTTCCACAGCAAGACGCGCGCCGAGATGACCGTCTGGGAAGCCATGGAAAAACTCAACACACTCATCGACGAGTCGGACCCGGACACCTCGCTCTCCCAAATCGAGCACCTCCTCCAATCCGCCGAAGCCATCCGCCGCGACGGCAAGCCCCGCTGGTTCCAACTCGTCGGCCTCATCCACGACCTAGGCAAGCTGCTCTTCTTCTACGAAGCCCGCGGCCAATGGGACGTCGTCGGCGACACCTTCCCCGTCGGCTGCGCCTACTCCGACAAGATCATCTACCCGGATACCTTCAAGAACAACCCAGACTACACCGACGACATCTACAGCACCGAGCACGGCATCTACACCCCCGGCTGCGGCATGGATAACGTCATGTTGTCCTGGGGCCACGACGAGTACCTCTACCACATCATGAAGGATCAGTCGACCATCCCCGATGAGGGACTAGCAATGATTAGGTATCACTCGTTTTACCCGTGGCACTCGCAGGGCGCGTATAAGTGGATGATGAATGAGAAGGATGAGCGCATGCTTGAGGCGGTCAAGGCATTTAACCCTTATGATCTCTACAGCAAGAGTGATGAGGTACCCAAGGTTGAGGACCTTAAGGATTACTACATGGATATTATTGATGAGTTTATCGGCAAGGATAAGAAGCTCAAGTGGTAAATGTTGTCGGTCATTGGGTAGGGCTGAGCCCCTCTTCTTCTCCTTGCTTTTTCACGAATTTTTCCCATGTCCATGTCATCATGAGTTATTATTTTTTTCCTTCATGTTATGCAGATAGAGGGCGCGGAGTGCCAGCAAGGCCCGCGAGATGCAGTCGATACATGTTTTGTCTGGCGGAACTTTTCTTTTATCATGAGTTTTCTCAGCGTCAGAGTTGGTAATTTGGATTTTGAAAGAAAGGATGGACACGAATAAAAGTCGGAAGGCCATTCACAGTCGGACATGTGAAGAGTCGTATTCTAGTAGTAATCTTAGAACACATACCATGACAGGTTCCTCTACTTCCACGGTCGTCTTAGACATGCCTCATCCCATATACACTTGCCCCTCGTGAAATGTCGTGTGTCGCGTAAATCCATTCCAGTCCACCGATACCAAACTCACAGCGGGACTCTCTCGCGCCTCCTACCGAACAGGCACACTCTCAACGTTCTCGAAAGCGAAGCTGGGCGAACCAGGCTCAGCCGTCGCAGCTTGAGGGGGCAGTTCCGATCGGATCTCGCCCTTGCTGCCATCCTCCTTGATCACCGTACCATCCTTTCCACCTTCCGAGACAACAATGATTTCTACGTCGACGCACTTTTGAATCGTCTGCTTCAAGCCTGGAACCATGACCCGCAGGGTTGAGAGTTCATCAAAGGCGAGTTCGCGGTTCAAGACCACCTCCTTGGGCTCTCCGTTGTCGAGGCGACGCTTGAGGTTGTTGATGAAGGGCATAGCTTTCTTGGACTCAGACTTATCGATCGACTTGCTGATTGCCTTGATGTCAATGGTAGCTGCGTCGCGGAGCATGTCGATGTACTTCTTTTGCCAGGCAGGCCATTCTTGAGCAGAGAAGATGGTAATCTTCTTCTCTTTCTTAGGATCAAACGTCGCGGCCTTGCCTTTTGAAAGTTTCTTAATGGCGTTGCCTTCGGCTGATGTGATGTTGGTCTGTGTGGTGCGGACAAACTCGCGAGCGGCGGTGAGTGATGGGTCGGACTCGGGGACCTTTGGCCAGAGGGCGTTCTGGATGGTCTCCTTGTTTTTGAGTACCTCGAGCCAGATGTATTCTGCCCAGTGTGGTGCGAGTGGTGTAAGGAGGAGAGCCTGTAGCTCAATGAACTTCTTGACAAGATCCTCGTGCATACCAATGCCTGCCGCCTTGGTAGCTTCGCGATAGAAGTCACGCGCACTGGTAAAGTCGTAGAATCCTGACTTGAGGGCCAACTTGTAGGAAGTGTTGGAGTAGTGACCAAAAGCTTCGTGAACGAGCACGTTCATCTCGTTGTCGAACATCTTGTCGAACAGAAGGCGCTCACTACCGCTCTTTCGCTGGATCACATCGGCATGCTTTAAGCGCTCGTTTGCCCTTTTCTCCATGTACGCAGCCGCATCAGGGACGTAGATGGCCTCATTCACCAAATCCTCACACCATTTGCGGAGCTCGAACAACTTCAGAATGTTACTGTTTGCGACAGTTTCCTCGAAATTGGCGTCTGAGATCTCGTCTCCGGCGTCGGCCAGAGCAATACGTGTAGCATCTGCACCGAACTTTTGGACCGCGCCAGCGATGGTCAAGAAGTTGCCAGTAGACTTGCTCATCTTGTCACCGTTGAGTAGCAAGTGGCCGTTGACACGGAAGCTGCGTGGCCAGTTCTCCTTCGGGAAGATTGCGGCATGTACATATAGGTTCATCGTCAGATGGTTTTGAATGAGATCTTTGCCAGAAGAACGTTGGTCAAGCGGGTACCAGTAGTCGAAGTGGCGTCGCATAGTCTCGAGAGCCTGCTTAGGAATTGTCGACTGTGGGACATCGCTTCGGTCGCGGAGGGCAAAGACGTAGTCCCAGGCTTCATCCGTCATCTGGTCAGGTTTGACACCAAGAGGGCCTGGCTCTTTGCCGAACATGTCCTTGTGCAGCAAATGAGCAAATGAGTAGTATGCCTGGTAGATGGTACTATCGGACAAACTCTCAACCATCACACTTGGGTCCCAAGGCACCTTGGTACCCAGTCCGTAGGATCGAGCGCATGCCCAGATGCCGAGCCAGTCAACGACTCGCAAGAATTGGTTCTTCGCTTCAGGGTAGTAGAGATTGAGTTCACCCTCGATGTGGGATCGGACCTTTTCGGCCCACTCGCCATCTCCGCCGTTGGCCGCTGTGCCGTAGTTCATGTACCACTGGTCAAGCAGGGCCGCAACACAATCGTCTCCACTACGGCTGATGACCTTTCCATCAGGCTCGGCGTAAGGGAAAGCGACACCAGAGTCGATAAGTTGCTTACGAACCAATGGCTTGGCCTCCTCGACTGGCTTACCAGCGAAGTCACCATACACCATCTTGCCCTTGTAGAAACCTTCCTTGTATGCCTTCTCTTTGGCTTCGGCAAGCTTCGCGGAGTCCTTGGGCGATTGGATCTTCATCTCCTCGACCAGCTTCTGTGCAGTGAGGTTTCCGTAGGTTGGTGTCTCTATGATGCCAAGCAGGTTGTCAAACTTGACCCATTCTTTTTGAATTCCGTAATAATCCGCCTTCTTAGCCAGGTCAAATGACGTGATGTAATCATCTGGCGAGTCTGATGGTACGCAGGTAACGACGGCCGTGCCCTTTGTGTCCTTGACGGTCTCCATTGGAAGAATGTAAACTTCCTTATGAACGGAGAGAGGAGCGTTGACGATGGTGCCAATGACATCCTTACCGGGGAATGTAGCGATGATTGAGTACTCGCCCCATTTAGCGGTGGTGCCCTGGTACGCCATATTCCTTGCGGCTCTCTCGCTCAGTACAAAGTACTCACTGTCGTTGATCTTAACCAGCGAGTAGTTGATTGAAGGACCTACGAAACATGAAGTTTGGCCGTACATCGTCTCGGGGCGGAGTGTAGCTGGCACAAAGTAGCAGGAAGCACCTTCAGGGAGACCAGTGATATGTGTTTTGGCGGAGTCAGCCCATTTGACCACCTTCATCTTCAACGCCGTATACTCCTGAACAGTGACACCTTCTCCAGACTGCCTGTCATGGTCCATGCAGGCTTGTCCGTCTTTCGGACTGTAGACAGTGTATCGCTTAGCGAAGATGATCTTACCCATTGCTTTCAGTCGTCGCATTTGCCAAGCAACAAAGCTGTCGTAGTAGGGGTTTGCGTCTGTTGTGACGAATTGACGCCTCCAGTCGATCCTGGCGCCAAATGCTGTGAGATCCCTCTTGGCGAGCGGGGGGAAGAATTCTATCCAGTGATACGGGTCAGAGAACTTGTGAATCTCTTCTAGAGGTATGCCTTGAGCAAGCATGATCTGGAACTGGTACTTGGTCTTGACTGTCTTGGCGGCGGCCTTGCCTTTCTGAGCCTTGAACTTGGTGATGTCGGTCTTGGTCTCAGCTTGTGTGGGGGCGGGGGGCTCTGATACGGCTGTCTCAACGACGTCCTCGACTGGGCAACGCTCAAAGTTCTGTCCGAACATCTCCACTTCTCTAACGAGCTTGTCGGCACATGCTTTGATGGGCATACCAGTTACGTGCCATCCCAATGGGAAAAGCACTCGCTTACCCAGCATCCTCTGGACTGTCAAAGTATCAGTAAATATCTTGCACGTGATCGTCTAGTTAAACATACAGCCAGCAGTAAACTCAACTTTACTTGCAGTAAAGCCATGACCAGCGTGAAGGGTTCCGTTCATGTAGGGATAAGCGAAGCAGCCAAGCCACTTGGGAAACTTCTCATGAAGTTGGTCTGGTGTGGTAGTGTCAAACGGCTCCTCCTCAAGCGAGGGGGCATCGGGGTTGAAAACGCCCTGCTCTTCCCATGATTTCTGATACTTCTTCTCTTCTGCGATCAACGTGTCACGCTTGTCGGTGTTTTCAATTTTGAGTGTCTTTGACTCAGCCTCTTGGGGCTTGAGTTGCTCAAGTGTGGCGGCAACAGCGCTCTTGGGCGCCTCGCTGGATTTTGTGGTCTCGGCCATGACCAGTTGTCCAGGAAACGAAATAGGGAGCGTGAGAATTGAAAAGAAAAAGTGGTTGGTGGTGGCGGAGGCGAGTTTGTTTGTGATGGAGTCATCCGGTAGGAAATCCGAGTGCGGGATGAATGCCAAGAGTGCGGTTTTTGTGGGGCGGACTCGGACCGTGCGCGCTTTTGTAAAGAACGTCAGTTGACGATCGAGATAGATCCAAAAATCTGCGTCGCTCGAAAATCGGTCGCATAAGCCAACATCGCGCCGCCATCGCATCGGCAAGGCCAGTCAAGATGCTGCGCCTCATCAACCGTCTCATTGGCCGCCATGAGAACACACTGCCGCCCTTTGACTTTGCGCGCAACAAATACCTCGTCAAGAAGAAATGGCCGCCAAACCTTCGCGCCCTGACGGAAAAGCAACAATTCCGATTCGAGCGCAAATTCAAGCGGCGCATCAAATTGAAGTCTGAGCGGCCATTGTGGAACAAATGGACCAAAGTGGTGCAGTGGAGTCTGATCAGCTTCATCGTCGTTTATGGCGTCTTGTTCCACGACTTCAGAAAGGACCCGATGAACCCAAGGCCAGGAGAACAACCTTTTGAGGGATTAAGGCAAAGAATGTGGGGGCTTTTGGGAGGGTTCTATACACATACCGAAGACACTATGAAGGGCACGGGAGGAGAAAGGGGTGCCAGAAGGCTGGTACTTCCACCGGAGGAGAAGCGAGAGGGGATGGCGCCTACGGACGTTCAAAAATAGGCGTGATGGGAGGGCGCTGTAGTAAAAATTATCAGCGCGTAAAAAAGATGAAAATTCAGTAAAGAAGCCCAATTGGTGTTCAAGACTTCAAATACAGCTTGCGCTCTACGAGTTTGTAAACAAGGAAGACGTACTGGAAGGGCATATCGAGGAAGCGGTCCGCCAGGCGGTTCCAAGATATTCTGAGGTCGTCGCAATCTCGTCTAGCCAGAGTCAGACATTTTGCTGATTGTTCTTCACAACCACCAACTCGCACTTACATCCCAGAAAATATAGCGCTGATCGCGATACTTCTTGTACCAGCGTGACCTAAGGAGCAATCAGAAGCCGGCGATGTATCTGGAGACTGAAATTCTCACGACCACGCAGCGCCTGCGAATTCTATCGTCTCCGACCAGTCTTTGTACACATGGGCGGTCGCCACCCGCTTGTACTCGCCACTAAGCACACATCAGCCCGGTTCATAGCAAAGTTTAAGTTCGGATTGAACACGCTTCGAGAGATGGCTTACTAGAGAAACGTATACCGTAGTTCCACGGTGAAGTGTGGGTATCGGTCTGGCTCGTGCCAGCCCTTCTTGACATAGGCTTCTGTGCCTATGGCCTCCGGAGGGAAGTTCCAGGGATCTTCCCTTCCAAAAGCGAACCCCTCAATCAACGATGTTGGATCGTTTCGGTTGCATAGGTCTTGGTATATACCCTCTTGCTCCTCCTGGGATATGCCATGGGCGAAGCCTATACTGTAGATACGGTATCTATGTATTCAATTAGTGAATAATCACCAAAGGATAGAGCAGTGGCCCATATAGGTTTCTGTTCGAAGCCAGTTGTATCCAGTCTCTTGAATCCCGATCGTTCAAACACTTGTGTGTTTCTATTGTCGCCTTGCCCAACGAATACGAACGGATAGAATGCGTCGATCGCCCGTAGGTCCAGTATTGCATGAAGAATGCAAACGCTTCAGGTAACCTTCTTCGTACCCATTGATCGGTAGCGTCAAGTCTGAAGTGTCCGGATAGAAGTTGAAGCAAAACGTATTCGAAAGGCAGATGTGGCTTACTCGTCAGTAGGAGCTTTTCAATTCTCAGTATTGGGGAACTTACAAGTAACTACGGGCTGTCTCGTCACCAGATCCCACGGTTCATCAGCCCCAGCCAACCAAACCTGACTGTCGGTTGCAGAGTCATCCGATTGATGGCCGTTCAGTTCCTACCCTGGCCCTCCATGCACTCCTTTCCGCCTTACCTTGTTCAAAAAAAAACAAAGAAGCAGGAAACGCTCAAATCACCCAGAACAAAATTCAAATGCGGTGGGACCGCAACAGGGGATGTAGAGGGGGGTTGCCTACCTTGTTGCCATCTTTTCTGGCTTCTAGCTTCTGGCTCCTGGCTCCTGGCTCCTGGCTCCTGGCTTCTGGCTTGTAGCTTCTGATGTGAAACCTGCTAGAGATTGCGATTCCTCCAAGCTGTAGGTGTTCGTATTTGGGATAGGTATTTGAAGTCTCAGTAATGGGTATCGATATCCCAGTTGCCAGTGGTGAAGTCGGTATTTCGTCCAGGTAGTGAGAATTTACCGTTGTCGAAGCGAAGATTTGTGTGATCGATATGTGATACGCGATCAAAACATGAGCTCGTCTTGGGAGCCGTGATAGTGAGCGAACGGTCATTTACGTTATTTCCCGTTCGGGAAAGTAAAGAGTGAAAACTACTGACTCGAGGGCAGTGAAAGAGATCGCACTCCCAATCCGTCATCGTCACTGGGTAGAGCGCATACATATTACGATGTTGTAGAACAATTGACATGATGGCTTCAAAAACCATCGCATGCTTCTAGTCCATTTGATGTCTATTGTACAGAGAACAAGGATGCCATTCAACAAGATCCGCATACGAGTCACTGAGAACACGAATATATAAATATGAAAGACAAACACCGTTTCTACTCTAAATATGAGGACTGTAGTTTAATGAGGATATACCGAAAAGGTGTCAATGGCGTTGAAGTCTGCGTCATCACCAAGAAGAGTGACCCATCACACATTGCATTCTTTGTCAAGAACTTGGCCTCTCATACTGAAGCACCACAATACATCACACATAGCATTGTTTGTCAAGAATTCATTCTTTCATACTGAAGCACGACAATCAACTCAGATTCAATACGCTCATGTATTTAATGTAGTATCTCACAACCGCTTGGGCGCTTAGCAAACTAGACCATCGTTGGACGACTCAAACACACACTATACTACGCGCCTAAACATCGATTAAGTTCTCGCCCTGCTGTCCTTCACCAGAGTTGTCCTTAGTGTCCTTGTTGCTCTTCTTCTTGTCGCCATCAGCGCCGCCGCGACTCCTCTGGTAGTACTGGTCAAGAACCTTGGCTGGGATACGGTTGAGAAGTTCCTTGGGGTAAATGCGGAGTAGCGACCATGCTAGGTCGAGAGACTCGTGAATGGAACGAGATTCGTAAGCACCCTGAGCAATGAAGGAACGCTCAAACTTCTCGAGGAACTCGAGGGACAGCTTGTCTTCGGAAGACAAGGCTTCCTCTCCGACGACTGCCTTCATGGCTGCGGCGTCACGGCCAATGGCGTACTTTGCGTAAAGCTGGTTGGAAACATCACCGTGGTCTTTCCGTGTGCGGCCCTCACCAATGGCGGACTTCATAAGACGAGAAAGCGATGGGAGGACGTTGATGGGAGGGTAGATACCCTTGTTGTCGAGTTGACGATCAATGAAGATCTGACCCTCGGTAATGTAACCAGTCAAGTCAGGAATGGGATGTGTGATGTCTGTTATGGTCAGTACGCAGCCGTGCTCATGATCTTGCAATACATACCGTCGTTAGGCATGGTCAGAATGGGAATCTGAGTGATTGATCCGTTGCGGCCTTCGACACGTCCTGCGCGCTCGTAGATGGTGGACAAATCAGTGTACATGTAACCGGGGTAACCACGTCGACCGGGGACTTCTTCTCTGGCAGCCGAAACTTCACGCAGCGCATCGCAGTAGGAAGACAAATCGGTAAGAATGACCAATACGTGCTTCTCGAGCTGATAGGCGTAGTATTCGGCGGTCGTAAGAGCGAGACGAGGAGTAATGATACGCTCAATACTATGTTCGGTTAGCTAAAAGTAAGGGTTGCAAGAATGTCGGGCGCTTACGTAGGGTCGTTTGCCAAGTTGAGGAACAATGTGACACGCTCCATACTGCCGTTCTCCTCGAAGTCGCGAGTGAAGAAGCGACTCGTTTCCAAGTTCACACCCATGGCACCGAAGACAATGGAGAAGTTGTCGTCGTGGTCGTCGTGTACGCCCTTGGTGGGCTTTCCGACCAGGCCAGCTTGTCTACAAATCTGCGCAGCGATTTCGTTGTGGGGAAGACCGGAGGAGGAGAAGATGGGAATCTTCTGGCCACGAGCGATAGAGTTCATTGTGTCAATGGCCGAGATACCAGTAGAGATCATCTCTTCGGGGTACACCTGGAACACGGTCAGTCGCAAAATGTAGCAAATACGGACTGGATACATACTCGAGAGTATGGGTTGATGGGACTACCGTTAATGTCGAGGTAGTCCTCAGCCAGGACCTTGGGGCCCTTGTCAATGGGCTTTCCTGAACCATCGAAAATACGACCCAGCATGTCCTCGGACACACCGAGCTTCAGACTGTGTCCAGTGAACTCGACTTTGGTCTGCGACAGTCAGCTATCATTGTCTGTGGGAGGCGGGTATAATGACCTTCTGAACGTCGATGCCGGATGTACCCTCGAAGACCTGTGTCGCAGTCAGAAAATGTTGTCGCGCGGCTTCAGCTTTTCAAAGTTTACCTGAACGACGGCGCGATTACCTGCAGCTTGGATCAGCATCATACCTACAGGGTCGATATCTGGGGTAGCTTACCTCGAGCTTCGAGGACTTGGCCAGAGCGCTCGGTGCCATCAGGCAGCGTCAAAGATACAATCTCGTTGTATCGGGGGAATTTGACCTGTCCGCCACATGCATAAGCTTCTTTTCATGCGTCGCTATGCTTCCGAGCAACATACATTGTCGAGAATGACGAGTGGACCGTTTACGCCGCCGATGGTGTTGTATCGTATTCTAGGCGTCACCGAAATCATGCGGGGGTCCACGACTTCAGGCATGATGGCGGTGGTGAGCGGTTCGTTGGAGATGTAGTATCGCTCGGGATTGATTCGAGGGCCGCGGTCGGTCTGTAGCCTCGGAGATCGTTTGGGTGACGAAGTTGAAGGTCAAGCCGTCGAAGTGGGTTGGAAGCTCTGACCAGGGTGCTCTAGCGTTATGCGACAGATGACGCCGGGGGGGGGGGGCTGTTAGCGCTTGGCACTTCACAATGGTTGCAGATACATACATGCCGAAGCATGCCATGGTGCTTTTACTCTGTGGCTTCAGTAGTGTTCACGGTGAAATAATTTGTAATATCCGCGGACACGCATCCAGCTCGACAGACATGGGCTAGTACAGGCTCACGCTCAAAAAACAAAGTCCTAGTGAGCTAGCTGGGTAGCTGTAACTGCGATCGAGGTCACATGAGATGGGAATGCAATGCCCACGGTCACAGGCCTGGATTTAGCGTCTAGTATAGCCAGTGCCTGCCACCGGACGCGACAAGGAGCTGTTGATAGCCGACGTCACGTCATCAGATGGAAGTGTACACAACTCTGAACTTGCACTACAACAACAAATATGATTGCTACATATCTATCTACGTTCCGAGCCAGCCAGCATCCGTCACATCAAGCAATATTCTTCAAGAACTAATGCATAAAGTCTGTTGATTCTTGTCAGTCGTTGCGCGAAAAAGTTTGAACAAGTACGGGACAGGATGGGTTGAAGGATCAGACATCCAAGGAAGGTATTCGCGCTCATTGTCCATCGGTTGTAGGTTCAATTGATGGCTAGCGTGGAAACTGCGAATGTGGAAATGTTTCATCATGAAGGGGGCGGGTGAAAGGCGTGCAAAAAAAGGGCTAACTGACCTTTTGAGAACTGCAACGCGACCAGACACGCGACAGAGCAGTGCCGCATTGTGTATGTGTACATTATTCCCATTAGGCGTTGCGCTGACCGCAAGGGCGCCATGTCGCACCAAGCGTCTGGTGTATGAGGGTGGATGCTGGCCAGTCAGCACCGAGGGCCGGCATGCGTCGGGATAATCATGGCGAACTCTAAACTGGAGCAATGTTAGCAATCGGGCAAGGAGAGAAAGCTAGATTGATCGATGAGATTGGGGAAGGTCAGACGACAGTACTGGCAAGTAGCAGGCGCCCTGCGAAGGCACCCGGACAGCTCCGCTTTCTTCAAGGTCGAATCGGTATGGAAAAGAAGTTGCTGAGGCTATAATCACTCCAGAAAAAGCAAGGAAAAAGGAGATAACTTACATTATGCACAGAGCCTGGCTCCGGGGGCTGGTGATATTGCACGTCGCAGCCCGGAGCCAGTGGTTATGCGCATACGCGTGCACGCCATACGCTGCGCAGCGCCGTGCTGGAGAGCAGGGCGAGAGTTGTGGGCGAGAAAAGACTGAGGTCGCGAGGGAAGAAAAGTGCGACGCCCAACTAGCGTGCCAAGATTTGCAGGATCACGTGATGCACCGGATGCAGTAAGCGGGAGAATTAGCAAGCGTCATGAGAGAAGAGGGCGACAGCGAGACAGCGGGCGTGCCGGTGAAGAGGCCATTATCGCGCACACCGGCCTGCATCAGCAGACAACAGGACGCGAACAGCCGTGCGGCGTCGTTTTGATTGTGCCAGCGCCAGTGCGCCCTCTCTCTGCGTCTGAAGCCTGACTGCACTGGCGGCCGGATAGATTGGGTGCCCAGCCACGCAGCTTTTCGCGCGATACCGAAACGGCCCCCTAACCAGCGCTGATCTTCGGCGAGGCCATGCGCCCATCACCTCTCACCACACCAGAACTCCACCACTCGACGCCCGCGTCCCTGGCACCGTCCCTGGCCCTGGATCCGAACATCCAAGTCTACACCAGATGCACCGTCGCATAACACGACGTGCATAGACAGAATCGCCGCCACGCCCATTGCTGCCCTCGTACCGCTTCTCTCTCCCTCTCGTTCCCGCTCCACTGCTGTGCTGGCGGGACGGATGCGACACGATATCACCGAACACGACACCGCGCCAGCTCTGGCAGCATACATCAACGCCGCCGCCCCTCCCTCGTGAGTATCGCGCTACACTCTTGCGCGACAGTACTTGCTCCTCTCGCCCTGTCGCCTGCATTTCCGCCTAGGACCGACCACCGCCCGAGCGGCCTCCATCGCGCCCATCGCGACTTCGGCGCGGACACCTCGTCACCCTGCTACATCTCGGCACCGTGTCTTCCATTCGCACTCCCCTGAGACCATTGCACTGCCACTCATCGCCTCTGACCCATCACGCCCTACGACACCTTTGACGCGACCCCCAGAGCACGTATGACCCAGGACCAGTAGCGTTGCTTTGCCCATCTTGCTATCCACCCTCTCATTCTATCTATACTCTGCCATCCTGTATTCCGAGCTTCTCACTGCGCGTATCCCATATTCCTAGGCCCTATTCCGCGACTGCGAGGCCGCGGCCCACATTAAAAACATACCAAGATGATGACCACGAGCTACCCACACAATGGTGGCATGCACCCACAGGGCATGCCTCATGCGCACCCAGGCATGGGAGGCCCAGGCCCAAACCCTGGACAACCTGGAATGCCGCCCGGCATGCAACACGTCTCAGGTCCCAATGGTCCTGTTAGCCAGGCAGGGCCTATGATGGGCGGCATGCAGCCCGGTGGCATGGGTGGGCCAAATGCCCATGCTCTCTCACACTTGCAGCCCCAGCAAGCCCACATGTTTCCTCAGCAGCAGCAACAGCAACAGCAGCAGCATCAAATGAGTAAATATCCCCCGCCCACTACATTCCACATTGAAGTTTGGCTGACAAGAACCGCAGTGAATCCTGCACTCATGCAACAGCAAAGGACTGCCCAGCAAGCGTTTATGCATCGCCAGCAGCAGCAACAAGCAGCAATGCTTGCTCATCAACAAGGTAACATGGGTATGGGTTTCCAAAATCCCATGGCAAACATGAACCCAGCCCAAGCACAGCAGTTGCAGGCGATGCGCAACGGACAGCTAGGCCAGGGTCCTTTTGTCAATCTTCCGCCACACCTGCTCCAGCAGCAGCAGCAAATGGGACAGCCTGGAGGGCCACAACACCAGGCTGCCATGGCACAAGCCCATCAACAAGCTCAGCAGCACCAGCAGATGCAGCAGCAACAGGCCATCGCCATGCAACATGCTCAATCACAATCGAGCAACCACAGTCAGGGAGGAAACCAAGGGCCTCAGCAGACTTCGCAGCCCCAGCAAGGCCCTCTTCGTCCCCCTTCAGCGATAGGAAGCCACCAAGGGCAGTCTTCGCCGGCTCCCCAACCCACGCCTCAGCAGCAACCACAGCCACCACCGCAGCAACAGCAACAGCAACAACTCCAACAGCAGCAACATCAGCAACAGCAAGTCCAGCAGCAACAGCAGCAAGCTCAGCAAGCTCAACAACAAGCCCAGCAACAGCAGCAGGCTCAGCAGCAAGCTCAGCAACAGGCCCAGCAGCAACAACAACAGCAACAGCAGGCTCAGCAGCAAGCTCAACAGCAACAGGCTCAGCAGGCTCAACAACAGGCTCAGCAGCAGGCTCAGCAGCAACAGCAAGCCCAGCAACAAGCTCAGCAACAGCAGCAACAGCAACAGCAACAACAAACACAACAGCAGCAACCACAGCCGGCTCAACAACAACAGCCGCAGTCCGGTCCAGCAGCGCAGCAGCAGACTCCCGCTCCCACTCAACCGCCTAATCTGCCCCAGCAAGCGACTCTACAAGTACGGAATCCAGCGATGATGCAACAAGCTCAGGCACAGGCTCAAGTAAATGCACAGCAAAATCACGCTCGTAGCATGGCATTGATGCAACAGAACAAGCAAGCTCTTGGCCAGGGTACGCTAAAGCTGTTGAACTTTACGGATCAAATAGGAAGGTTCGACGTGGCACCTGAGGATAACAAGAAGAACAACAACGTGGAAAGATGGCAAGCCTTTGTGGACAAGTTCTTCATGGAAACTGGATCCTTCATTCACGTGGTCTGCTCGTCAAGTACAGAGAGAACCAAGCAGTTTGAGATTGTATACGCTGCGCTACCGCGGTACTTCTATACTCTCTTCAATACCGACGTCACAAACCTGCAGATCAGCTTGGATGGAGCCAACGAGAAAGTTGGGCCTAACGAGGTTAAGGTCACTTGTGATCGAGCCAAGTTAATTTACACGTACAAAAACTCATGTCAGGTCGTTTATCACGGCAAGCTGACTGCCTTTTGGTCTGGGTCAGACAAAATGGAATGGTTAATGTTCGATGGCACCGGCCATGAACAATTCCTGCCGCTCAACGCTCTAAGACAGATGTTCGTGCAGCCATCGCCTAATCAAATGAACCCGACCCAATCTCCAAGGATGAAGAACAAGAAACAAGCACTACAACGAGCCGGACAAGAACCACCAGAACCGTATCTGCCGCTCAACAAGCTGATTAGTGCCGGTGCTACAGACTATGGCTTACCACACGGCTTGCAGAATTATCTCGAGGTAAGACTACGCATCGCATTGTTTCCATTGAAATTGACACTGACAAGACCAGATCTACGAGCCTATGAATCACATGACTAGCTTGATGGCACACTATCTCGAGAACCCTCACATGAAACCAAGCGAAGCCCTCGAGTCCTGGAACGCAACCATGTCCAACAACCAAATGCTGCAAGGCCCACAGGGCCCAAACCAAGGACAGCAGTCTGGCCAAGGTATGCAGCCTAACATGCCACCAGGAGCACGACCCTCGGGACCTGGCCAACCCGGCCAAATGTTCATGTCGCCTGCGATGCAGAACTCATTGCTTCCTAACGGATCGAGTGGGTCGCCTCATTTCAACCATACGCCATCACCCCATTCGCAGCCTATGATGAAGCAGCAAAGCACCAGCTCGCACACAATGAGCGTCAATACATCGCCCAACATGAACAACAAGCGGCGGCGAAGTACAGCAAAGATGGAAATGGATGATGGTGGAGAAATGAATGGCGCAGCAAAAGTCAAGCAAAGCCCAAGAGTCGGAGGCAACAAGAGGATGAAGGCAGGCAACTAATCACTTAGCCTTGTTCTTCTTCTCTTTTTTCGGGAACCCTCCCTCTCCCCCCTGTTGGTCTTCCATTTAGTGTATTTGCATTGGTCTTGTTCGCGACGCCTTCTCAAGGCTTCCGCTACGTTTCATCGCATCCCCTCTACCTCTTGTATAGCGCGGCGTTGCCCCTCCCACACTTTTTTTTTGCTTCTCAAAGCAAGTCCTTCAACGGCGTTAGATCTCTCTCCCCATTTATTACCCCATTTTCCAACTCTTTTTCTTGGGCGGAATTCGCGTTGTTTGGTTTGGTAGTGTTGCCGTTCTTGTCTGTCTTTTGCGCAAATCTTTTTTCTTCTCTCTCTCTCTCTCTCTCACGTCTCATCTTTGTGGCGTATGGGGCATCTTTGTCGTTTTTTTTTGTGTGTGCGTTTGTGCTTCTATTCACATAACCCACTCTAACTGTTATTGCTGTTTGTCTGTTCGTTTTGGATTTTTTTGCGCGCTGTTTTATTTTGCTCAGATATTTCCACCTGGGTCACATAATCTGTTCTTTGTACTATATGGGCGATGGCAGCGGCGAAGGAAGAGAGAGAAAGAGAGAGAGAGAAAAGATGCAGCATAGCCATAGTAGCGCTCGGGGGAGGAGGTGAGGACAGGACAAAACCCTTGTCTTTTTTTTCGTCGCCAAATTTTGGGAAAGAAAGAAAGATGCGAGTCGACATGACTTAAACGGCTGTCGGGAGTGCAAACATGCACGTATGTAGAGGGTTGAAGAAGGGATGTGCAAGTTAACTTTTTTTGATATGGAATTCAAGACGTTATGACTTCTTTTTTCAAAATTGCGCGTTTTCCATGCTTACTATCCTTCTTGCTCTTTTTTTTGCCCGTTGTTCGTGATGAAACTGGATTTTTTGCCTAAATAAGGAATACACTCAGTTAGATTATCAGATTGATATTAGGAGAAAAAAAAAGTAGTTTAAGCAAGCATATATAATCCTTCTATTTCATTGTAGAATCTACTAAGACAGTTGTTGTGGTGAATGTATTAAAAGGACAGAACCGAAACTTTTTTGGGTGGCGCCATAACAGGCGGTACTCTTACTCATAAGTCAGATAGAGAGTTGGAGAGACAAATTATAAACGGATAGATGAGGGGTAATAGGGATGAAAGGATATTGGGGTAATAAACAAAAGACTCGGTGTACATACGTATGTACAAGTACACGAACGAGTCCCATACGGCCGTCTCACCATTTTGTACATGTTGTTTTCCTGTTGTGGAAAAAAGGAGCATGCAATCTAAATTCCAACAGAAACGTATTTCTTTCTTTTTGTGTCGATGTCGTGGTAGCAGTTGGGGAAGCCGGCTCGGTCAGCGTGGGGCTCGTATGTTTGTGGTTGAGTGTGATAGGCAATCACATTCTCTGAGAGTAGGTATATGCTGGCTTTGGAGTCGGAGCCCAGAATTCTGGGACGATGTCCGTTGATGTAGGTTGTGGGCGCAGAGGGTTCTGATTCGATGAAGGATTCGGCAAAGGTGGACGCGGTAAGCGAGCAGCTGATTGAGCGAAGAATTGTTCTAGTGTCTCTCCCTGTTTGAGCGCCTCGAGTTGGCGTTGCTGGAACTCTTCGAGGACGGCTGTTTTGACAGGCTTGGGATCATGGTAGGTGTACGTCATTTCGCCCTTGGCACCAGGGAGACCAGGGGCCTTGTATGTAGCAATGCCGTGTTCGTACTTCTCATAGGTCGATACAAGCCGTTTTCCGCCGCCTCCAGGAAGATCAATTACAAAGGCTGGCATCATGAAGCCCGAAAGAGTTCCCCGTATTTGTTTGTCTAAGTCAATAATCTCGTGGAGGGGGGTACGAAGATCTTCAATGCCTTGTACCATGTCGCATTGATATACATAGTATGGCTGAATGTTGATGTCGGCCAGCGACTTGATGAGATCGGAAAGTGCCGTGAAGGTGTTATTGACCCCTTTCAATAAGACTGACTGATTGCGGACAATCACACCGTGTTTGAATAGCTTGTTTGCGGCGAGCCTCGTTATCCAAGTGATTTCATTTGCATGGTTGATATGAGTGTGCAGGCACACTTGCTTTCCCATTCTGTAAGTTTGGAGAATTGAGTTAGCCAATAACGCATCTGTTAACTTGGGTATGTAGCATCTTACTCTCGGCCTTTGTTGGATACAGCAATGAGACTGTCAGTCCAGGGGTCCGAATCATCGAGAATACGACCAGGCGCAACGGCTAGTCCTTTCGAGGCAAAGCGAACGCGCTTGATGTGAGGAATGTCCAGCAGCCTGTCACCAATCTCTCTGACGTGGTCTGGTTGCAAGAAGTAAGAGTCTCCACCTGAAACAACAATGTCTTGGAGAGATTCATCGTTAGCAATGTGCTCGAATACAACTTCCCATCTCTTCCGGCTAGGTTTCTGTGGCTTTTTCGATACCGTATCAGTATTGCCGCCAACTGCGTACGATCTGGTGCAAAAGCGACAGTAGACAGGGCATATTGATGTGGCTAAAAACAAAGCTCGTCCAGGATAACGATGTACCAGACCAGGAACAGGACTGTCTTGCTCCTCGTGCAACGAGTCCAACTCGAGATACTTATGGTCTGGGATGATGCCACTTCTGAGAGGAAGGAACTGTCTCCGGATTGGGTCGTCCAAAGGATTGTTCCAATCAACCAACGAGAGGACATGAGGTGTTAAGCGGATGGACATTGGTACCAACTTGATGGCAGCAATCTAGCATGATATTAGTATTGGTGGATAATTCAAGACAACGGGGGAAAGGATTATTGCCTACAGCATCCTCGATAAAGTTGCTTTTTGTTCGGATCCTTTTCAATTGCTCGTTCTCGGTAGAGCCTAGTCTTTCCGGCAGAACCTCGTCAAGGAATTTATAAAGTTTGTGTTTGTCTGAGACAGTATTTCGCAGCTACAGGAAAGGAATTAGCTACTCAAGAAGATACATGTGGCATAGCTGGAGACTGATAAGATGATGCAAACAACATACCTGCCATCGATATGACACAAATTCATCGTTGGAAACATCTTTCCAAGACGGAATGTGGCTCCAGTAGGAATTGTTGTTGCTCAAACTCGACTGGGCTCGATATTGCTGCGACCATGACACTAAGCGAAAGCTGTGTAGGCGTAGGGATTGGGTCTTGGACTTGATGCTTGGGGCGAACATGTTTGCATGTATCAAGAGAAGAAGACGAGATCTGGGATAGAAACTTCATGTGTGAAGGTGGGATGGAAGCAAGAGTAAAAATGACGATACATAAATAGAAGTACTTGCTTTTTGTTTGTGCGGAAAAGCTACCTGTCGAATCTGTGACATGCCGTGTAACGACGCCTTAGGCACGGAGTGTTGCTCGCGCAATGGTAATGTGGATACAACGAATACACGTCCTTGCAGCTTGGATGGTTGCAGCCGGGTTACCGGACCCAGTGTGGATCTACGGAGAATGCCAGATATTCTCCAAGCACGCAGGCACATTGTGGAGCGCCACCAATCTCCTGTCGACGATGTCATGGAAGAATACGTTAGGGCTGCCTTCGATCAAACAGTATTTGTGTGTCCTTTTTACAAGCCCTGCAGGAGGGCTTGGGGCGCAATCTAGAAGACTTTGTGGCATGTGATAGGGCTAGAGCCGATAACAAGTAAATATAGTTATTGCAACATCAGGGGCCGAAGGAGCAATGTGGAGCTGAATGTAGAGAAAGGAACACAGAACCAGCATGCGAAGGATCGTGGGGCAGTACCAACCGGCTTCGCTCCCGTGCGACCGCGCCGCTAGAAGCGCTGGGTTAAGGAGCTGATGACGGGCGCTGGTGGATGGAGGTAGGAAATAATTATGATGTGGCTGCGATGATCAAGGCCCCAAGAGAGCTGGCGAATCCAGCTCTAGGCTCTTTAGCAGCTGCAACAAAAGCCTAACATGCACACCAAGGTAGCCAGGATAATCTGCCGTGGCCCAAAAGCCTGAGCGTCGGGTCCAACTATTCCCGGAAGAAGAAGACCCAGGTAGCGTTGGGGTGGCACTGCATGCAACCATCCCTGAGGAGGTTATGACAATGATGAGTGATACAAAAATGCTAAGGACGAAAGAAGCGGCTCAAGATGACGCGGTGAGATGGGATAGATATTAGTATGACGGCCCGTACCGCGTGTGCTACGGAGCGATAGAACAGTCATGTCGTAGGTGTACAGGCGACCTGGCGGTTAGGTAAGAAGAAGACGGCTGGCACTTGGCGGGGAAGGGGGAGGGGCTTGGGGCCAGGTGAAAGGAGGGACGAGGTGCATACACGCTAGCAAGCGGCGCCAAGGCCATGACCTCAGCCCCTCGCACCACCCACTGCGACCACAACACACGACCGCATCCTGTTGCCAACACTGCCAGCACAGTCAGGATATTGTTGCGAGTTTCCTCTCTCCTCGCCCGCCATCCCACTTGCACATGGCCGACTCGCCTGCCTCCGCAACGGGCGCCCTGCCTGGCGAGTCGCCCGCCCAGACAAAGGCCAGACTACGCAGAGAGCGTCTTGCAGCAAAGAGCGGCGCTTCTCGTCTGCAGCAGATCACGGCACTGCAGGGCGGCCCGCCCAGGGACATCAGTGAGCTTGAGAAGGATGTTCCGGGTGCGTACAGTCTCGTCGTTCGGAAAACTCCCCCGAGCCCATAAAACAAACGGCTAACCGCATACCAGTCAAGCCTGCCCCAATCCCTTTCCCCCAGCGCACACCCTCCGGGTCTGGAACGGCGACTCCGGACCCAGATGAGGTAGACATATCACAACACCATTACACGCCCGTATCCCGTCCCCGACTCCCCTCGCCCTTTGCCTCAGAGACCAACCCGACAGGCCCATTTGGCCCAGGGCAGGCCTCGGACCCAGCCCAGGACCCCATGATGGCAATGCTCCAGCAGATGATGGGCGCGGGTGCGGGTGGTATGCCTGGCATGCCCGGCGGTCCTGGTCAGGCAGGTGCACCACCGGGCCTTGCTAATATGCTTTCGGCCATGCAAGGTGGTGGTGCTGTTCCTGAGCCCTCGCCCGACCAATCTTCAGCCTGGATCTGGCGCCTGGTTCACTCCGTCTTCTCCCTAGGACTCGCCGTTTACATAGTGTTACAGACACCGTTTACCGGATCCAAATTCTTACGCGACAATGTGCCCGACGATGACTGGACCACCCAGTCTTCGCCAGCCCACAATTTTGCGCACTTTTTCTATCTCTTCGCTACTTTCGAGGTTATCTTACAATCTTCACGCTATTTCATAGAAAAAGGCCAGTTGCAAGGAGGTGGCATGCTCAGCACGGTCGCAGGTATCTTGCCCGAGCCGTATGCAGGATATATTCGGACGGTTGGCAGGTACAGCGTCATATATAGCACCGTTGTGAGCGACGCCATGGTGGTGGTATTCGTCTTGGGCGCCACGAGTTGGTGGAAAGGTGCTGCTGTTGCATGACCTTGTACGACTTTGATGCAAATAGAGTAACGGTATGACGACTATCTCCAACGCCTGGTTCCTATTTTGATGCAGCGCAACTTTTGGTCCTACTCTATGAATAAAAAGCAGCCAATACAACGTCACGGGGTCGGGGAAGGTTGCCATGTGACACATCAGTGTCCACGTGAGGGTACTTTTCTGACTCGGTTATCTTTGGCTGCGTCTCATCGGTTTGTGTACTGCCATCACCAAGGTACACATGTTGCGTATGCAAGTCATAGCTCGTTGCACATAGTACAAGATGCTATGTGCATTGCCTCCATACAAGTTTCTCATTCTTTGACACAACACTAACTCAATGCCTATCGTTCCTGGTACACCATACGTCTTCTACTACACCAATCCATTACCAATAGGCGAACGCCCCTATATCAGAAGATGCATTAGAGGAGTGCGGAAACCCGTCTAGTATCCGCACATGGCGAATGGCATTTGTTGAGCAGCTGTGATCCACCTTATGGCTACCGACAGATTTACTTAAATAGCACACGTCACTCAAGAGCCAGCGCATATCGCGTCCTTGCCAACACTCCCATAGGCGACGAAAATCACGCTGCTAGACCCACATCTGCTTCACCTTGCTTCCGTGTAATCTTTGCAGGGAATAATCTTTTCCTCTTCTTTTGGATGTTCGCGGAATCACTGTCGCAACTGCAATGGTGCTTCAGATGCAATTCCTGCGATTTGGATATGTTTGTAAAGAATACCATTAGCTCCGCACATGGCCAATGGTTTTTTCTGAAATCCTTTGCTTGAGCTCTTGTCGCCATATATGCATACGAGGCATCGCTGAGACATGGCGCGTCGCCATTTTCTCCCGGTCCACTTTAAGGCCCCAAAATTGTGTTGCATAGCTTTCGAAGCCAGTACTCTTACAGCAGCTTGAGATGCCCGGTGACCTGATCTATGACACTCTTTGGCGCAGGTCCAATGCCTAGTACAGTCGCACTTCCGCTTGCAATCTGTGTCCGCCCAGCGTCATGGATAATGTGTGCTACCAGACCAAGACTCAGTGCTTGCGCCTGCAACAGTTCTAGCTCTTCTTCAGTCTTGACCTGCAACGCGACCTTGGCTTGTCCTAGTCGCTCCCAACGCTTGAGTATATTGGAGTCTGGTGAGGTTCGGAGGAAGTGCTTGTAGCAAGCCAGTGTCGCATGCCCGCACTGCGCACCGATTTTGCCTGTATCAAAGGTCAGGCGATATGTCCTACTAGTAGTGGAGAATAGCAGTACCCTTTGTCATGCCGAGATCTGTTCGCACTACTAGGACCATTTTGCATTCTTCCTGGCCTGGAAAGTCGGCTGGTGTACTGTCGTCCTCGTTATCGCTCGATTCGTCTTCCGAGTCGTCCGCCTTTTCTTTCTTCGATTTTACTGGCTGTGAAATAGGACTTCCGCCAAAGAAGCCGAGAGATTTTGCCTGCCCGAGCATATAGCCAGTGACGCCAGCGAGTATGGCACATGCAGCTGCGATGTTGGCTGTGGACGGTTGAGAAGATTCTGACATGTTTGCCATATTTGCCTGACAGAACAGAAGCGCGAGATTCGTATATACAGCTGTGCCTAATGAGCTGTTATGTGTCCGCTGTGTCGTCCCAGTGGTTTGCTCCGCCCGTGATTGTACATGGGATGAAAGTGAAGTTGGGGGTCCGTGCTGTGGGCTTCTCGAATTTGCGGACCACCGAGCCCATCAACTATTCATCACAACGGGCACTTCGCATGCTCCCCGTCACACCTATCATGCATGCCCGGTGTCAATTGCTCTCCGGACGTATTCCGGCCGCAGGAGCTGTTGGCCGCTCTGCTCAGCAGTCGCAGCGAACGTATGCAACCACTGCGCCCGCGCCCGCATCCGCAGTGAAGAACCCTCTCCAACGGCGACGCGGCGGTGATCTCGGCTCCCACCTTCCCAAAAATGTCATTCCCAAAGATGCATACATTCCGGCATACCCATATGGCGAGCACAGGCTGTTCAAGCAAGCAAACAAGGGTCTTTATGGCGAGCAAATGATACGGTTCGGCAACAATGTCTCTAAGGATACCGAGACCAAGACTCGGCGGAAATGGCAGCCAAACGTCCTGTCCAAGAGTCTGTACTCAGTTGCATTAAGGAAGAGGATAAAACTGCGCATCACAGCCAAGGTGCTCAAGACAATGGACCGTGAGGGTGGACTGGACGAGTACCTACTCAAGGACAATGTGGCACGCATCAAAGAGCTTGGGCCAATGGGTTGGGCACTCCGCTGGACGCTCATGCAGAAGCCAGAGGTTATTGAGCGATTGCGAGCCGATGCTGCGGCTCTGGGACTTGACCAAGCCACCATCGACAAGCAATGGCCAACTCCTCAGATGATGGCTGTACGCAAAGCAGCTGAAGGCACACCTGGACTTGAAAGCGAAGAGTTTCTGGAGAGTGAAGAGCAACAAATGTGGGCACCAGAAGAAGCTGACGCGCCTGAGAGTCCCTCACTTGAGACTGAGCTACTTGAAAAGTATGAGAAGGGAACCGCAGCCTTTGCTGCCAACGAATACCTCAAAGCCGTCAAGGCTGCACAGCGGTACTTGACCCGAGGCCTCGTAGACAGCGAGGAGGAGGGCCTCAAACTAGCCTTTATCCGAGCAAAAGAGCGCAAAGAAGCAGCTTTTCTCCTCAAACAAAAAACCTACAGGAGATACAAAGAGGCCGGCTTCACCGTCGAGGACTTGCAGGAAATCCGGAACCGCTTCAACCTGCCCAATATCAAAGACCACACCGCCATGAAGATTGCCTACAACCAGCGGAAGCGAAAAGAGATTGAAGAGGCTGGCAGTGTAGAGGCTTGGAAAGCAGCTGCTCGGCCCGACAAGCAAGCTGCCGAAGCCACATATGTTGCTCGCGTACAAGCAGCTGGTGGCGAGGCAGCTTTCCGGGCCGCGCAAAAAGCAGAATACGCAAAGGTAATTGCAGAGGCTGAAACCGCTTCCACCAATCAAACCCTGGATGCAGAAAGGCGGAGATACCTTGAGAGGGCAATCCACAAGGCAGACTTGGCCATCAAGGCAAAGGCTGCGGGTGGTCAGGACGATTATGTGGAGTCCATGTTGGAGGATCGCCGCAGGAAAGCGTCTGCTTCTGATAGTCTGCAGGGTATTTATGAGGGATCCGTGCAAGAGAAGACTGCGCGTGGCGATGCTTGGGCTGCGCTTGTTAATTCTAGCAACAAGCCTGCGTCAAGTCAGCCACATGCCTAAGCGGGGGTTGTACGATTTATATGCCGGCCTTGTAGAAATACCGTATGTACACAACGTAACTTGAGCAATATCGATCGCACGGTACCTCTTCATCAGCTGCATGCTTGCCTCTTGAATCTCTAATGTGATAGGGAGAAGACTTCCAGCCTTTTTCTTATTGATGCTACTCGAAGACATGTATCTTTGATATATCTCTAAGTCCTTTAATCCCCCCCTCTCTCTCTACACAGATTATGTATTTGATATAAAAGAACCAAACTATAACCCCCTCGCCAACCTCGCCGCCTTCTTCAACCCCGTCCCCGGCCTGATCTCCCCAACCCACATACTCTCCGCATCCCCATCGATCCCCTTTCTCGCCCTCTCAAACGCCTCCTCGATCCTGCCCCTCAACCCGTCTTCCTCATCAACCCCACTTTCATTCCCCCAAAGCTCCAGCGCGCGCTCCATATCTCCACATGCGAAGATGTTCTCGCCCAACGCCATGTGCACGGTACCGAGTACATACCACGTCTGCGCCTTTTCGCGCTCGGTGAAGAAAGTAGGCTTGTTGTTTGGTATGAGTTCGATAGGTAGAGAATGGAACCAGGGGTTTGATGCTGGCGAGGGGGAGTCGGTAACCAGACTTAGGGCTTTGGAGACTGATGTCTCAGCAAGGAGTAAATCCCTTGCTGCTTTTTTGATTTCGGGTGTCGGGTTGGAAGTGTGTATCCAGTGTTTTGTGGATGTGAGACTACGCAGGGGGATGGAGAGGGAAATGCCCAATCCGAGTTCTGTGCGCCAGCGGAGTCGCTGGATAGATTTGCTGAAGGATTCGTCTTGTGAGTGGAGGATTTCGGGGTGGGTTAGGTAGCCATATGTTAGGGCTATGATGACTGCGTTTGCGTACTCGTTTGCGAGGGTGTAGTCTTCTTTTTCGCGCGCAGAGTCGGAGAGATCTGCTAGCTCGGTTACGCGGGCGAGATAGGATTCGGCTGTGAAGCTCTTTTCTGTCATCATGCTTTGCAGTCCTTCTGCGTATCTCGGTAGGAGGTTCTTGCTGTCGACGGTAACGCCGCCAAAGTTGGAGAGCAGCCTGAATGGCTCGAGCAAGTCGCCTTGGAGTCGTGAAATGGGGAAGTCGTATGTATTCATGATGGTCAAGAAAAGTGTGTGCATGGGCGCCCAACTTGCCGTTGCGCGACTTGCTTGATCGAAAAAGTTGATCAGACGAGGTAGATACTGTGCTGGAAACATGACGCTTGCACGTTTCTGCGCAGAGTTCTTCTCCACCAGCACTACCTCGAGGGCATGCTGAGTTGCCTTTTCGACAGCGTCTGGTGGAGCAGTGGAAAACAGTAGACCAGAGTCTTCCAGCAAAGTCTTTGCGTGCCGTGCATCTGCCGTGTATACATCTAGTCTTACCCACAGATTCTTCTCGTAAAAGTAGCGCAGTGCGTCTTTACTAAACGCTTTGTTAACGTAGAAGAGACCGCTATTGATTGGAAAGGGCTTCCGCGAGGCCGAGAATTTAAGCACGCCGTCGCCTATCTTGTGTGTATATGATACATTTGGCTCGCCCAGGTTGACCATCTCAGTGTCTAAACAGTATCTGTAGATGTTGTTGCGGATAGAGGGCGGAAGGTCCGTCAGACCCAATGGTCGCTTGCGCGTCGACTGCTCAAGAGAAGCGGCTTTCATTTTCGTCTCAAGACTGCTTGCTGTTGCGTCCATGGAGTCGCGTTTTGCGGTTGCTGGGCTGGCCATGGTGGTAAATTTATGTTCTTCTGAGCGCGGCAGATGTAGTGTTAGCGAATGAATTGTAGAAATAGATTGAGAATACTGAAATCAAAATCAATGGAAATCTTCTGGTTTAATACCCAGATAATAAGCTTACCGAATGCTTCCGGCTCTGATGCTTCACTAGGATGATGTTCCAACGTCAGTCGTCTGTTTTAGCGCGTGTTCCTGTCAAGGTCAAGTCGCCCGCGATCCAAACAACCACGTTCTTTGAGGATTTTTATCGAAGCCAAAGATGCAATTGACAAACAGAAAAAATAACTTCTCTTCTCATATCCACAACATGAAGCTCTATTGCGGGGTTTTATAGCTATAACTGAGCTGCAGAGGGGGGTTCCCAGTCAAGGTGCGGGGAAGCATGGGTACTTGTGGGGAAGTCCCAATAGGCATGCGTGCGGATCCGAAGAGTTTCCGGCTTGTCATACGCTTTCAGACTGTGCGCATATAAGACTTTCCAAGTGTATTGAATCCTAGTCAGCTGTTGGTGTTCATGCACATTGCTGAGTGCGGGGAAGCTCTAATCCCCTCCAATCGGTGTTCACGTCACCTCCGTGGCGGCCTGAGAGCCTCAATCATTCATCGTCATTCACATTTCATCATTCCTATCTTACTATTACAATGATTTACTCAGCAAAAGCTGTAAATGCCTTCAGCTGCTTGGTGGCGTTAAACTCCAAGTCCACGCCGGGGCCGATAAAGAAAATATAACCATCGCTCAGCTTGTACTCCTTGCCATTGCCCTTCATAGTACCTTCGCCTTCGGTTACGATCATGACGCTGGGTCCACCGAGTGACCCAATCGTCTCGGAATCGCCGGCACTCATTGTTGTTGCCAACATGTTGAACTCGCTAAGAGGAGGCGCATACATCTGCGTCTTGCCGTTTTTGCTTCTGTCGAAGGCTTGTGGCGGCAGGATGGCTTCTTTTGCGTTGTGTGGTGAGAATGTGAGAACTGAGCAGAACATGTCGACGTTGTCGCGATCAGCACGGGGACAGAAACCAGTGTTGAGGACGTTGTTTGATCGAGCCATGCACTCGATAATGTCGCCAGACAGGTAGGCGTGAATGCCATCGGCGGGAATATATATACTTTCGCCAGCCTTAAGCTTCAAGTAGTTCATAGTGACGAGAGCAACGAGCGTTCCGTTGTCAGACTTGTCGTACTGTTCTGCCAGACGAGGAATCATCTCAGGAATGTAGCTGGAAACGCCAAATTCCTCTTTTGGTATCTTCATTAGAGCATCGTTAGTTTTGCGGACGGTATCCTCAGAAGCCGTGAGCATTGCCTTGACAATATGCTTCAACTGCTCGTCGTCAAATGTTGGCTTTGTGACCTCAGGCATGAAGCCCTGGAGCGGTGGGAGTTTCATCAAAAGTGCAAGCTCTCCAAGAGGCTTGAACCCACAGAAAGCCTCAAAGTCGCCCAGAGCCAGGGCAATCTCTGGTTTGTGGTTTGGGTCTGTGAACTGGCTTGGGTTCTTTGCGTGTAGTTTTGAAGCCAGCTCTTTGTTCTGCAGCGTTATTAGAAAAGGGGTATGGTTCTTCTTGTGAAAGCACATACTGGGTGTAGCTGTAGAGGTAGAGCTTTTGCTATTGACAGGACTTTTGGCAGGTATGGCAGCTTGGTATGATTGAACTTGTCAACGACAGCCTTTCCAATAAGCTCATCGGGGTGCTTGTCAATGACATCCTGAAGGTCCTCTCCAGTCTCTAAAACATATGAAGGTAACTCGGGATATGTGCCCATCCACCTGCTGATGTTAGAAGCTATTAGAGAAAAGCTCAGTCTGCACAATTACATTTCAGCGTAGCTGGTATTCTCATCAATCTTGAAGCTTGTGCCTGGTGTCTTTGCGCACAATGTCGCGGCGAGCGACTTGGAGCCTTGTTTTCCCCATGGGTACTGGTTGCAGTCGCATCTCAACTGAATCACCTTTTCGACCATTGTTGTGTATGGAAACGGATTAGAGTAAGCAAAGAGAGAGTAGAGGGTACAATCAACGAATTGAAAGTAGATTGGTGTGAACAAGCCCGCGACCCTTCATTCTTTTCGAATAGTTTTATTTCTTTACTGTGACAGGTACTCGACGTCATAGCGGGTAACACAAAGTCGCTGCAAAGATTCAGGCGGTAATCAGCGAGCAATCGTCACAGAGCTTGGCAAAAATACCGAGACTTCCGTCTGAATTGTGGACTTTGCCGTCCGTTGGTGAGATTCCCATGGTCGGAGATCTCGACTCGTACCTAGTCCGGCCAAATCTCGTGATGACTCGGACGGTGTGCCAGGTGGGTATGGGCAACTCCTTTTACTAGCGGCGCCGTCGCTGGACAGGGGATGTGGATGTTTTGCTATATTTGAACTACTCGTATAGCGACAGGCCATGTCTTTGATTGCCTGTAGGTGAAAAAGTACCCTTGATGTGGTGACAGGGAGTAATCAGATGAAGAACAAGGTGGACAAGTCGCACAAGGTGCAAGTGTGGCGTCAATCAGCAGGATGCGCAACGATAAGAACATCGACGTCTTCTATATATGTATGCGCATAGCTCGAAAGATGTCGGTCCTCAACGAAAAAAAAAGTGAGGGCCCGTTATGCCTCCATCTCGAACATGACCAGGGACAATCTGCGGGCGCTAGGGCAAGGTCCCTCCTGCCAAGGCCAATCGCAGCGCATGCCCATGTCGTCGCGTGGACTTTGGGTAGTCCGTCTCTCTCAGCGCCCGTTGAATCTGCACCTCTCTTGCATGCATTGGGGCCACTCTTAACCTCGAGACACTCCAGCAATGTTCCTGTAGCGATTGCGCCTCTTAACGACTTCCAGACCGCCACCCGACATCGCTCGTATTGTTCCACCCACGCCAACTGCAACATCTCCTCTACCCACGGAGACTCTCCACGATGCATTTCGCCATGCCGCCACGAAAGACGTCGCGACCGCCGCCATACGTTGCAAGAAACCAGAGCGGAATTGCGATACCACCAGCTCTCAAAAATTTGCTTCGGAGCAAACTAGGACGTCTAATCGCTGGTGGCATACTGGGCTTTTTCGTGCTCATCTGGATGCTGAGTGGAAGTAGTGGTTCTACCACAAGAGGCACAAAGGTGGGAGGCTGGGGTCCGGCAAACATACCCAAGCCCAAGATAGGAAGTGGCCCGCCTGTGGTCGTGGTCACAGTTGTGGATCCCAAGATGGATCCTACATGGACAGCAAAGGTCAAGAGGAATAGGGAGGAATACGCCAAAAAACATGGTATGCCTCACCACAGCCAACGGATTACCGCTACAGTTGGGCAAATGTTGACATGTATTTAGGCTATCTTACCTTCTTCCCAACCAGCGACAAATATCCTATCGGCAACTCCCCACCCACCTGGGCTCGCGTGCCTGCAATCCGCCATGCCATGACGCTCCACCCGACCTCCATGTTCATGTGGTATCTTGACCACACTGCCCTGATCATGAACATGGACACGCCCATCCACACTTCGCTCCTTACGCCCGCCAAACTCGAGTCATACATGATCACCAACGCCCCCGTTGTTCCCCCCGAAAGCGTCATCAAGACATTCAGCAACCTAAAGGGCGACCGGATAGATTTTGTCATCACCCAAGACAAAGACGGCCTGGCGCCGAGCAGTTTTATCGTCCGAAATGGAGAATGGGCAAAGTTCTTCCTAGACACCTGGTTTGACCCCATCTACCGAAGTTACAACTTTCAAAAGGCCGAGTACCACGCGCTCGAGCATATCGTGCAGTAAGTACCCAGTGGCAATCATGAACTTTAGATCCAGTAAGCTGATCTCACAAAACAGATGGCACGGTACGATCCTCGCCAAACTCGCAATGGTGCCCCAGAACCTCCTCAATTCCTACGCTCTCGGCCCCGCAAACGAACGCAACGGCCGCTTCCAAGAAGGTGATCTCGTTGCCGTCTTCCCCGGCTGCGACAAGAACGGTCGAGACTGCGCCGTGGAGCAGCAGGCCTACTGGACTAAGCTGGATGCCGCGGCCTAGACACACACACACAAGCCCTCGGGCAGGGGTTTTCTCTCTCTCTTTGACGCTAGAGCCAGGACAATACAAGGGTACCGTGATAGAGGCGAGGATAGTGAATACCCAGGGGGGACGGGGTTGAGGGAGGATGGGATAGACTGGCGTTCAAGGCGTTGGTATCGCATCGCATCACGAGCCATGGTATGCAAACCTGCCATGGAGGGGTTGGAGTAGGGGGAGGACAGACCCATATAATTGACCGATTTTCGGATTCACCATGTAACGGGAGTTTTTTTTTTATATTTTATTTTAAATGTTAGAAATCCATGGACTTTGTTGCTCCGTGTCGTGGCGAGACGTGAGATTATCGAACTGATACGTTATTTTTGTTATAATGTCTGTCTGCATAACCTGAAATCGATGACTGCGAAAAAAAATATGTATTGGTACATGGAGTGAAGAAACTACTCAATCCGTACCCTTTGGCTTTCTCTGCCGCTTAACACTAACCATGCTCCGTCTCGGCCGCTGTTTCCTCTCTCTACTAGAAATCTGCTTTGGCCCACTAACAGTACTAGCACACATGGGCCGTCGTTGTCCCACAAACTTGCCCAGCGGGGAGAAAACCTCGACCTCGGGATAATCCTCTTCCCACTGGTCCATCAGCTCCCTCTTCTTGTCTTCGTAGAATTCTTCTTCAAGGACTTCTTCGGGATCTCTACCCTCACGTTCTGCACGCGCAATGGCGTCGAATTTGCGCTGTTTACGGTCGGCTTCGGCCTGGAGTTGGGCTTGGCGGTCGAGTCGGGCTTGATTTGGATCTTTCTTGATCATACCTGGGGGCGACCAGCCCTGGGGCCTGCGCATCTGCGCTGAGACCTCGACCCAGCCGACGCCCTCGATGAGGATGTCTGTGCCCCAGATTCTGAAGGGGAGGTTTTCGGGCTTCATTTTGCCCGCGACGGGCGAGGTGACGGGGCCAGCGATTTTCTTGGTTACATCCCATTTGAGTTGAAATTTGCCTGCAGAGTGCATTTTGGAACCGACATTTGGGGCGAGAATAGGTGGTGTTTGGAGTTGGCGTTCGGAAGTTTGGGCCTGATATTCTTCTGCCTTTTCGGTGCGAGTGACGTGTGGGTGAATAGGCACAAAGGGGTATACGAGGAAGACAAGGTCCTGGGTTACGGGAGTGATTCGAATCAGACCTCCACCGAGTATCAGAGATTGACCGGGTTTGAGGGTGTAGCGTTCCGAGTTGATACGGCTCTTCATTACAAGGTCGTCATGTGCTGAAGGCTGGACAAAAGTCTCTAGCCCGGGAGTTGTGCGCGCAAGACCCGGAAGGTCAATAAGTTCACCTCTGTTCTGCCCAAAGGGTATGCGAATCGGAGATGCAGTCGTGCCAGGCAGCGAAGAGGCAATCGGTAGAACGGGATAGGGTGTGAAAGGTTGGGGCGGGGGAAGGAGCGCATCCGGATCTTCAACATCTTCTTCTTCCGGCGTCTCTTCAAGTTCTTCTGGAGGTTGGTGAAGATGTTCCTGTGGCTTGTTTTTCAGGCGCTCCGTCTCAGCATCCTCTTCAGCGAGTTGCCGTTGGACCTGTACGAGCTCATCTAGTGTCTTTGCGTTGCTAAGCATTGCTTCTCGTTCTGCTGCGCTCCGAATCTTGCGCACATCTTGATAGTCCGCCCCCCTTCCTTTAGGAAAGACAGCCTCGAAGAGATTTGATTTTCCCACATTGACCTTGCCGACCATCCAGCCTGCGCCTCCGCGGTCCCATATGTCTTCTTTGACCTGCTTGGTCCACCATCCTCGCTTCGCACTGACGAGGCGTACATTGCCTAGACGCGCATTCGCATTTTGACGACCGAGGGCATCGCGGAGCACATCTCGAACATATGGCATCAACGCATCGACTTGCTCCTTCTTCGGCGCTAGGAGATCGGCTCTTGTGATGATGAAGCTGACCTCTGCAATACGGTCATTGGCGACCCAGCCCTTGTGTTTGGCTCGCCTGTTTTGTGTACGCAGTTTGGGGATGCGCAAGGAGGACTGGAGGTTTGGGACAATAGAGAGGGGGAAGTCGGCAGCGTCGACGACATGGTAGATGTGGTTGCGTCGGTGCGGTGATTCAGCAATGGTCTGTTGTATGGCATCGACGGTCGGATGGTGGATGGGCGACCCTAGGCGATGGTGAAGGAGACTGTGGCATCGGTCGCACACTGGTGTTGGTGGTGGGTCATTGTCGTCGGGGACTTGATTTCCCTCTTTGGCAATGCCCAACTCTCCAAGCAACTGGGGATCGACGTTGCTGAGTCCCTTTTCGTACACATGGTCTTCTTGTGTCGCCGTATCTTTTGGTGTATTTGGGACTGGATTGAGATATGCGCGTACTGCCTTCCTGTCTATGTTATAATACCCCGCTTCATTTTGTTCGTAAATCTGAGCGGGCGCACCACATCCCGGGCACGCTCGAGGCAGTGATCTTGAAACTGGTGGATTCTGTGGGGATGTATCATGGTTTTCGGTGGGAGGCACAGCAGCGCGGACTTGGTCCTTTATTGGTCTTGACGTTGAAAAGTTTGTCGACGACCTGGCTCGGGAGGGACCGCGGCGAGTGGTGGTTATGGGGGCTCTAAGTAGGGCAGGACAGAGGAACAGTGGTATTGAGGCTTCATGGTTCAGCAGTGTCCCGGCCTGGGTGAGAGCGCGTCGCATGCTGGGGAGGAACAGGAGACGGGTGTAGCAATTGTGGCTACATGATGTGCATCTTACTACTGTGGTTGCACACTACGTAGGCGGCTCTCACGCGACGCGCAGCCGACTGTCCAGGAAAAAAAATTACCATGGGCGACAGCGGAAGGAGCAGGGGTGTACAGCGGACAGATGGCCAATCAGAGACGGGGGTAGTGTGCGAGCCCGAGTCATAGGAACATGACATAGAGATTCCGCGGCGGGCGTGGGAGGCGTGGGAACTATTGCGTTTCTGGGGTATTTTGCTCAGACCACCCACTCTAGCTACCTGCGTACTCTAATACAGTCACAGCTGCTTCCGTTCCATCCGCGAAGCATTGTCTCGTCTTCTCTCTGCTCGCCTCTCCTCTCTCATCTCGTAACCGGTTTCTACTATGCTCGCCTCATCCCGCACGGCGCTGCGCCAGGCGGCGACCAAGCAGCTGTCGCTCAAGTCCAGTGTCCGAGCTGTCTCGGCATGGTCGCAGGTGCCCCAGGGCCCTCCAGTAAGTGGCCAAAAGCAAGCTGCGGCCCAATTGACTCGTGCCAATGCTAATCCACACGTCTAGGATGTATGTACCCTCCCTGTAGACATGATAGCCGCGCCCCAGCTTACAATGCTCTCTCCAGGCCATTTTGGGTATCACTGAAGCCTTCAAGGCCGACAGCAACCCCAAGAAGATCAACCTCGGTCAGTGAACCAGAATAACATCTCACAACAAAGACGTAACTGACTCTGCATCCCCAGGCGTCGGTGCGTACCGCGATGACAAGGGCAAGCCCTATGTCCTGCCTTCGGTGAGAGAGGCGGAGAAGAAGGTCGTCGATTCCGCGCTGGACAAGGAGTACGCTGGCATCACCGGTGTACCCAACTTCACAAAGGCCGCTCTCAAGCTCGCATATGGTGCCGATTCGAAACCCCTCAACGAGGACTGCATCGCCGTTACCCAGTCCATTTCAGGTACTGGCGCCCTGCGCATTGGCGGCGCCTTCCTCGAGCGTCACTACCCTGGCCCCAAGACCATCTACATCCCCACCCCGTCATGGGCCAACCACAATGCTGTCTTCAAGGACTCGGGTCTCAAGGTCGAGAAGTACCGTTACTACAACAAGGACACAATTGGCCTCGACTTTGAGGGAATGATTGCCGACATCAAGGCCATGCCCAAGAACAGCATTGTCCTGCTTCACGCCTGCGCACACAACCCCACTGGTGTCGACCCCACCGAGGAGCAGTGGACCAAGATTGCCGATGCTGTCAAGGAGGGTGATCACTTCCCCTTCTTTGACATGGCCTACCAGGGCTTCGCCAGCGGTGACACCTCCAAGGACGCCTTTGCTCTCCGTCACTTCATCAAGGAGGGTCTCCGCCCCGTCCTGGCCCAGTCGTTTGCCAAGAACATGGGTCTGTATGGTGAGCGTGTGGGTGCCTTCTCTGTTGTCTGCGAATCTGCCGAGGAGAAGAAGCGCGTCGACTCACAGATCAAGATCCTTGTCCGCCCATTGTACTCTAACCCCCCAGTTCACGGTGCCCGCATTGCCTCTGAGATTCTGAACGACGCCTCGCTCAACAAGCAATGGCTTGGCGAGGTCAAGGGAATGGCTGACCGCATCATCACCATGCGTGCTCTGCTCAAGGAGAACCTCGAGAAGCTCGGAAGCAAGCATGACTGGAGCCACATTACATCGCAGATTGGTATGTTCGCCTACACTGGTTTGACACCGGAGCAGATGGACAAGCTGGCAAAGGAGGTAAGTTGAAGACCACGTGCCAGGTGATAGTAGACCCAGCTAACGTGACAGCACTCTGTATATGCCACCAAGGACGGCCGCATCTCGGTGGCTGGTATCACTAGCGAGAACGTCGGACGCCTTGCAGAGGCTATTTACAAGGTCAAGGGTTAAGCAAGGTGATGATGGGCTCTTTGGTCGGCTCACGGCTGCCGTGCATGATCCGGCGGCTGCATTGAGCGGCTAGATTATGAAATGTGTACGTATGTATACGAGAAATGACAAGTCTCTTCGATCCTTGGGGGTGTGCTCGTGTCTTGTCTTGTTTTTTTTGTCTTCTGGGATCGAATCGGCCGATCTGAAGCATCGCACTAGAGGTTGGAATCCTTCATCGAGGATTGTGTGCCTGCTCACTGAAGCCCCCCACAGGCAGCACGTGGTTGGGTATTTGCGGTGAGACGATGAAGGCGGGTGAAGATCCCTTCCGTGTGTGTGAGGAGGCTGTTGTGTGGTAGTAGACAGTCATGGCGCTAGTTAGTTCCCGAAAAGCTTCGACCTACTGCTCGCGTGCAAGAGACAAGCATGCATGGCCGACTTCGCTGCCTGTCTAGGGCGAGTTACTACGGTTATTTGCAAGCCTGCCGGTTCGCAGACATGTTGAGTCATTGTTCGACATGGCATGGAAGAAATGCAGACGGGTCAGGCTTGGTGAGCTTGGTGGTCAACAGAAAAACTGGCCCGGTACCGCTCAAGGCATGGTTTGGCAAGCATAGTCGCGCCAATCCGACTGCAACAAGGATTTGCTCCACTCGTTTACCCTGCAGCGCTGCAATGGCCAGGGCGTCCGCTGTCGTGCACACCAAACCTCATCGAGGCTGATGCTGGGCGTCTCCATGCCGCCCTCCGCCCGCCATTTGCTTGAGAGGGGACTAGCTGTTGGCAGCGGGACAGCAGCAGCCTATGGCATTTCGGAGAAGGCCGGAAGAGCATGAATCACGCATGACGCAGGTTTGGACGGAAAAACAATGGCCAGGGTCCATGGGGCAGGCCTGTCGTGTGTGGGTTTAGTGCCCGGCCCTATGGCGTCGCTTTGTTTGTTTTTTGAGACGGTGTCTGTGGCTTCTGTAGTGTACGTGCATGGCTGTTAGGTCTAAGAGCAACAAGCCCTGTACGTAGTATACACATAGATACACAGACATGCAAGAGGGCAGGGCCAAACGGCGGCTGGAGGCGGTGTTGGAGTGGTTAGCTCAACCCAGCAAGGCCCATTTCAGGGTCTGGCAAAAGCGCATGCGCAATGACGACAGCTTACAATGTGACGTCGTTTGTCGTGAAGCGAAAAAAACCCAACCCTCGTCTGTCTTTATATTCCAATGCTGGCACCCCGCCTCAAGAGTTTCTACCGCGGGGAAAACCCTTTTCGAACCGCTTCCAGGCCCTCTTGGCGCACATTCGACTGCTCTTCTCTTCTCTTCAGTCTTGAGGGCGTATTCAACAGCTCTCCCGACGACGGGGCAGGGCGGTAGGAGCCACAGCTTCGGCTAGCCTCATCAGCCGCAGAGGCACACGGCGGTGCAGGCAACATGCCAGGTCAGAGGACACGACTCCACACGACTTGGGTGCGGTGCATTGCCTTTGGCCGGGTACCCGATGACTGTGACTGCGAGCGAGGGGGAGGGGGGGTTGGTCGTCTCCAGTCAGCCGCCAGGAAGAGCGTAGCAGACGACGGCTTCGTAACAGGCGATCAACGGCGACTGATGGCTGCCGATTGACGTCGAGGTATCCACCCGCATGTATCGAGCCCTTATTCCACTGCTCATCCCGTGGCCCCCCCCCTTCTGCCCCTCTTCCCCTCCTCTCTTTTTGCGGTGATGCAAACATCACAACCCTCACCTTCTAGAACACTGCCCGCCGTATATGAGCCACATTCCCGTGACCATTGCTGCCAAAACTGCTTTCCTCTTACCATCCCACCCACCGCCCACTCTCGGTCCCTATTCTGTCCGTGACGAGCATAGCATAGCTGCATCCGCTTCGCCCAGCATCCGGCCCCGTGGAAGCAATACGAACTAACGGTCTAGAGGCGCGACTTAGTCTCCCTTCTTGTGCGTAGTAGTTCGGCAGTCGCAGTCGCAGACACACTCGATTGCCCACCCTGCATCGTCCCTAGACACTGACCCTTGGACAACCTCCTCAGCTCTAGCAACGGCGCTCACAACAACACCCACGGGCCGACCCTTTTCAGTCGCCCACTAAGCCCGATCCAGCCCCCGCAGGTGAATCCGACAGCCGCACGGCCCACTGCTGAGGCGCGAAAAAATATCCGTTCGCGCCCCCCAATCGTTGCTCTTCGCTGCGACACCAGTCCCATACGGTGTCGACAGCATCGTCGTCCGGATTCACCACCGCCCTCTGCCCTATCGCCTTCGCCGTCTGGTCTTGAGCAAACATGTCGACTACCGACGTACAGGTTCGTGTGCCCCCCCCCTCTGCCCCTCGTCCCTCCATTTGCCCTTGCCCTCGAACCCCCCCACCATGTTCTGTCCTGCCCGCGCCCCAGCACGTGTCTCTCCCTTACCCACTGTACTGTTCTTGCCTTGCCTTGCCCACCTTGCATCCGCACTACGGTGCTGTGCAATCTTCACCTCCTAACTTAATCCTTTTACCAGCAGAACGGCGACATCATGTCGATTCCCGGCGCCGAGGACCAGATCGACCCTGCCACCTTTGAGCAGATTCTCGAGATGGACGAGGACGAGGACGAGCGCGAGTTCAGCAAAAGCATCGTCTACGACTTCTTTGGCCAGGCAGACCAGACTTTCAAGAAGATGGACAAGGAGCTGTGAGTGCCTGCCCGCCGCGCGCCTTCATGATGACGCCACACTTCCGCCCACGCTCTGCCCTTCCCCGCACGGCACGCCAGCATCGCCTCACAGTACCACGGCTAACACGCGATACAGAGAAAAGAAGGAAGGCAAATACCTCAAGGAGCTTAGTGAGCTCGGCCATTTCCTCAAGGGCTCGTCAGCCACGCTCGGCCTCACCAAAGTCAAGGACTCGTGCGAGAAGATCCAACATTACGGTCAATTGAAGGACGACGCAGGCACAAAGGACATTACAGAGGAGCAGGCTCAGGAGAACTTGGGCAAGATCATCAAGCAGGCCAAGAAGGAGTTTGCAGACGTCAAGGACATCCTTAAGGAGTTCTACAAAGACGACGATGAAGCTTGAGGGGGCATGCCACCGCCACCGAGCAATGGCGCGAGCTCCCGTCTCGCACTCGTCATGCTCATCCGCGGGGCATACATGGCGTCCACGGCAGGCAAGCTCCGGATCATCCACTTTGACGAGTGCTGCGCGACTTTGGTCCTCCTTCCCTACCTACTGCCACGCCCCAAAATTTTTAACGAATCCTCTTCCTGTGTTGCATCCTTGTGTTGAGTTTATAGGGCTGTTTTATTGTGTATATGCCATTGTTGGGTAGGTTGCATTCTAAATAGTTTGCCCCAACTCGGCTTATTGATATTTCCACGTTAGAATGTGTTAGACTTGGACGCTGTTCAAAATGGCAAACAAGGTCAGTTTTCTTGTGATGTACGCGCTTGCTATGCACCGTAGACGATTCTTCAGCCCTACCAGGCGCTGAACAGCAAAGGGCCGAACGCCTAACGCGCTTGAGACGAAGCGGCGGCGGAGGCTGCAGCGGCGCCTGTCAGTCACCCCACCTTGGGGCCTACGTCACTCGTCGCTCATGCAAAGGCCCGATGATAGGCTACCAGGCTAACCCATGAACGCTCAACATCAAAAGCACCTTTATTATCGTGGGTTAGGCGCCCTCTTTAACACCACTCTTCCTATACGCTGCCGAAGCTTCCGTTGGTCTTATTTTGTGTCTTGTTAAGCGCAGCTGGTTCTTTTATTTTGCTCTATTTTTTGCATCTACGTTAAATCTGCTTGCTGGATTGTCCGTACTTCCGCTCACCATAGCCGACCTCTTATGCTGGTTGCTGCGACGATCTTGCGTCGAGCTGCTCCTGGACCAATCAACTGTCGCATTACTATTGCAGCTGCAAGCCCAGCTACTGCCTCTATCCTTACACAGCAGCCACCAAATCAGCTTCTAGGTACCCGGTTTTACAGCTCGTCGCCAATCATGGGCAAGAAAAAGTCAAAAAGCGACTACAACGACTTTCTAGATGGCGAGAAGCTGCGCGACAATACGGAAATCAGGACGTCGCTTCAAGGATCTGCAACGCAAGACTTTTCATCTGCACCTACCAGCCAGTATGCACGAGGAAGCAAGAAGAACGGCAAGGGTGGAGCAAAGAAACCTCTGCTCACCCACTTTTTGTGTCTGCCACTTGTTACAGACGCCAGTAGGCCGCAGCTCCAAGAAGGACTGGATCAGTTCAAAAAGGACCTAGCGAGCGATAGCCCAGTACCTACCAAGGCGGTGCGACCGGTAGGTACACTTCATCTCACCTTGGGAGTAATGAGCCTGGATGCAAAGGAGCTGGAAAAGGTCAAACAGTATCTGGAAGACTTGGACGTACACAATCTACTCCGCGACATTAGCCACCGTCACATAGCTGAAAAGGCTGCCGAGGACGGGATAATAGGAGAAAACCTTGTTCCTGCAGCCATGCCAGATACCGATGCCTTGACCATTGACGTAGAAGCCCTGGTGCCGATGCAAGCACCAAACAAAACGAGTATCCTCTACGCTGAGCCTCGAGATCCATCGCAACGTCTACCTTTGTTTGCCTCTGCATTGAGAGAGAAGTTCACAGAAGCAGGACTCCTAGTCGCAGATACAAGACCATTGAAGCTCCACGCTACCATCATGAACACAATCTATGCAAAGCCCAAGCGGGGGAGAGGACGATCGAAACCATCGAAATTCAAACAAGGGCTGAAGCATATCGAACACAAGGTTTCACCTCACCATCGACAGGACGGCGACGCTCACCACGACCAAGACGATGACGAAGATGCAGCATCAACGGTGGGCTCGGTAGATGCAGATCAAGACCAAGCCCCACCCACAACAGGCGAAGGTCATGGTCCCGATGGAAAGAGCTGGATGCGGTTTGACGCGACAAATCTGATTGACAAGTACAAGGGCTTTGTATGGGCGCGCCATGTGCGCATAGATAGAGTGTGTATTTGTGAAATGGGTGCCAAGAAGATTTGGAGTGGGTCGCATGAGGGCGACGGAGAGATCCTGGATGAGCAGTACAAAGCTGTTGCCGTGAAGGGTATATTTGAGTGAAAAAAAAAATCTCTTTAGTTTCTTCCTCCTCATCTTTCTAGGATTGTTCAATAGAGAAATCATGGCAATTTTTTTTTAAAACAAATGTAAATATGCCGAATGCTGGAAACTATTCGCAATCACCTCCCCCCCTCTCGTTCCAACTTGCTCACCTCCTCCTCCACCCTCGCCACCTCTGCCAAAATCCACTCCTTCCTCCTCGCCAACTCCCTCATCCCCTTCTCCCCCGCACGCTCATAAAGCTCAATCTCCTGCCTCGCCAGCGCCTCCCGATCCCTCAGCGCCTTCTCCCCGCTCCCCTGACTCTTCTTAAACTGGCGGAGCGCATGCACGAATTCCGCCGGCGGCGGATGACTATACGTGTGGATTTTGGCCTGCAGGCCCAGCAGCACGGAGCGCGCGTGGAGTAAGTCTGCCGAAGAACGCGTGTGGCGGGCTAGGGCGCCTTGTTGGGTTTGCTCGAGGATTTTGATGGCGGTGGTGAGGAGGGTGGAGTGGGTGGCTACGAGGACGGTGAAGCTGTGGGTTAGATTCAAATGCGCGGTTTGGAGTTCATCCGGGAGAGTGAGGGTTGCTTCGGTTTGAAGGGCGTTTGCTCTTGCGCTGAGGTCTTGGGGGGGAGGGGGTTGGAGTGGGTCGGCGATTTTACAGAGGTGAGAGGTGGTTTTGCTGAGTTGGGTGGAGAGGGATTCGCTGATTATGTCGCTGTTGGTCATGAAGGCCTCGAGGTCTGCGGAGAGGATTTCGCGGTCTGAGGCGGATATTTGGCCGCGGAGTTGGGCGGTGGCGATGTCGATTAGAGTGTGCAGTTCTGGGGGGAGGTCGGCTGCTTTGGAGGGGAGGTCCGAGAGGGTGTCGATGAGGATTTGGGTTGTGAGGAGGGATGTGCGGGCTGCGGATAGGGCCTGTGGGGGAGGTTTTAGTTTCTGTATTTTTTGCTATATAATTGATGGTTTTTGACTCTGATATTGCTGTAGATGAATGGGGTGGGCTGAGTATGGAGATTGTCAATGTTGGGTGTAAACAAAGAAACAAACATGAAGTTGAAGAGGGATTTTGAGAGACAGAGTCGATCAGTGAAGCAGCTAAAGAACGCAGTAATATTTTCTTAATCAATTCAAAAAAAATTGCCATACCCTGCGAATCTCATCATGCACGCGTTGCTTCTTCGTCTCCCGCGTTGAGCCATTGGAATTAAGCTTCCTAGTGCAAAGATCTTTGTACAAGACCTCGAAATTCGGATTGCGCTGTAATACAGCTGGATCGACTGGCGGAAGCATCTCGTTGGTATTTATTTCAAGTCCTGCTCGAATTGGTTTTGTATATGTAGAATCAAAAGGTTGAAGTCGGTGTGGTGGTATGATAGGCGCTGGCCTGCACTAGAGCGTCACAGGACTAGCGGCTTGGCTGAGTCTACAGCTGGCACCCGGCTTACCCTAATAAATAGTCTTGTCTTCATGATTTCACGTTTTCAGGATTGTTTTCAGCTTATTGTGAAATTTCTTCAATTTCCCACATCAAGACGTGTGGTGTGTATTGAGTGTATTCTCACGAATGGTCCTTTTGCGCCTATTGCGTCCCGTCGTCGCCCTAGCCCTCAAGTGAGCCCAGAATGTGATTATCCTCAGCATGTATGTAATCCCAAAATAATTCTTAGAAATAAAATACTACGCTATTAATTCTAGAGAAGCTGTTTTCAACCTCCCTACGAAAACCACGTCACCGACAGGTCTGATTGAGGAATGAATGCTTCGAGCTCACGAAATTTACTACTATCCTGGATTTCTGGAAGATCAGTTTCTACTGGAACTATAATAACTGCTCTCTTTGTGGAGTACAGAGCACGAGGCTGTGATAAGGAGCCTGGTAGTGCTTGTTATCCAAGACATCTTCTCGTTGGCGAATCATAGTGCTCGAGGAGAAACACATGTGGCAGTTGATCTCGAAAGTCCTCGATGAGATAGTTGAGATCGAGACATCTGCAAAGGAGATAGGACGAAACCTGGAATCGCACATGGATAGCCTGTTCATCTCAAATCTTCTGGTCTATCCAGCTGACTTGCCAATAATAGGAAGACAAGACAGGATATGTATTCCGATTGAAGCCGTACCAAAATCGGACCCTAGCCACGGAATTCGGTTTTCATCTTGTTTCACGGCATGTACACGTGCGTATTCGGACATGGCTGTGTCACAAACAAGTTAATATCACCTAGATTAAAGTTTTTACATTTCATATGATACTTGTTGAGATCTTCTCTCCGGTTCTCTCCTCTTACACATTACTCATACCTCAGCTTGTGAGGGACGGTCATTTCCATGATTTGTGTTGTTGCCACATATATGAGCTCATAGAGGGGATGATTCTGTCGTTGGTGTATATACTACAACATCTATGCCAGGGGTACAGCTAGCGTGAAACCTGTCAGCACTAAATGTGCCACCACACCACAACTTATTGTGCCCGACGTTCTTTCATCACCTCTCACCAGACGCTGGTGATATTGATTTCCCGCTCGATTCATCCTCTCAAGTAATTTATACTGTCGCCTATTGAATAGACTCCGGACATAACGGCAACGTTGTTGGTTGTTTGAAACAACCTGGAATGACAGACACGCATCTCTTAATTGCCTGCCGATCAATACGCCTTTGAGACGATCTAGAACTTCGACAATCCAAGTATGGAGTCAGCTTCGAGTAGCTTCAGGAACCACTATACGAGTAGAGCGGTGAAAGTTATATATGAGTCCCACATCTTTCAATGCAAGATTTACGCTCCCTTCGCACGTACGGAAACCGTACGCCATCCGTGACTGGACTTGTGGTTGATCTGTGCCCTTTTGTTTCGTAGACATAAGCATTTTACCCCAGACCGGCCAGGTTTTAAATCAAGCTTGTCTCAACATCAGCCTTTTAGCCACTGTTGACCGGCTCCACATCGGAACATCGGCCGGCCACGCGGCCGCAAAGCCACACATAAACCGAGCGGCTACCGGCAGTCCTCATACGTCGCAGCCGTTAATTTGCTCGTTTCAACCGTTTTTTCTCCGATTGTACTAACGTGAATATGTACCCCAGACTGCCGCGGCTTGGTCCTGCATGAAATCACGACGGCAACGGCAATAACCCCGGCACGATCAACACCACATGGCTACTCAAATAGATTACGACAACGGATGAAAGGACCACTTGTGTACCACACCAACCAAAGCAGCGTTTTCGGCCCCACTGTTCAATATGAAGTTAGTTGAGGAGACTGGAATTCTGCCTAAAGAGGTCGTGGCCTCGTAATGCATAGAGCTTCCTTTTTATATGTGAATACGTTCGCTGCCTTGTAGTGACCATCACGCTCTTCACACACGATTACCTTTCAACTACTCCAATCACCACCACCACCATCACCATCATCAAAATGAAGTTTGCAACTGCTGCCGCCGTCTTCGCTGGCCTTGCTGCCGCAGGCCCTGTCGAACTCAGTGAGCGCCAGAGCTGCCCAAAGGTCTACATCTTCGGTGCACGTGAAACCACTGTTCCTCAGAGCAACGGATACGGAACTGCTGGTGGCCTTGTCAACTCTGTCAAGTCAGCCTTCCCCGGTGCTGGCTCAGAGGCCATTGTCTACCCTGCATGTGGTGGTGGATCAGCCTGCGGTGGCATCAGCTATGACAACTCTGCTTCCCAGGGTACCGCAGCTGTTGTCAAGGCTGTAACTGCCTACCACCAGAAGTGCCCCAGCACCCAAATCGTCCTCATTGGATACTCTCAGGTTCGTCACCAGTGCCTAAAACTGTTGGAAAAAGAAGTGTACTAACAAAAAAACAGGGTGGCCAAATCATGGACAACGCTCTCTGCGGTGGTGCAGGCTCCACTCTTACTGGCAGCGCTCTCAACGCCGTCAAGGCCGCCATCTTCATGGGCGACCCACACAACCGTGCCGGTCTTCCTTACAATGTCGGCACTTGCCGAGCCCAAGGCGTAAGTCCCCAATTATCAAAAATTGATCAGCAAGAGTCTAACAGTCAAACCAGTTCGCTGCCCGTCCTCAAGGCTTCACCTGCTCTCCCGCCAATGGCAGCATCATTCAGAGCTACTGCGACTCTCAGGACCCATACTGCTGCAACGGCAACGACGGTAACCACCACCAGCAATACGTCAACATCTACGGCAACCAGGCTCTTGCCTTTATCAAGAGCAAGGTCACTGCTTAGACGCGGTTTTTTTCAGCACAAAGTGCGGAATTAGGAGGATACCACTACGCGCCTGGTGATGGCGGCAAACTTCAATGTATATATAGGAATTTGACGAATATGTATATGACATTATTTGAAACCAACTTTCTTGGACATAACACTATCTACGTCCGTGTGAGATTTTTGTATATAGATTCAATACTGTGTCCATAGTATAGGTGTTGCTTATATCTGGCCTCACAATGGCGGCATGTACAACCCTACTGGCTAACCGTCAAAACTGATAAAAATTCAACTCCGAATCTTGAACAAAGAGAATCACAGTAAATGGTAAAACACTCTTCAAACAAAGCTCGAAACATTCATTCATTCATAACATCTATCCAACCGGATAACCAGCCAAATCTACTCCAAAAACGCCATGCAAATTACACACACACATGCATAATCATTAACCTCGTGACGCTAAATGCCTGCTTCTTGCAAATATACACTCTCTCATAAGAGGAAAACACGCCTACAACTTAGCCTTTGGCCACTGGTCCAGCAGATCCGTCATTTCGAAGCGCGGCCAGTCAGGGTTGAGACTCGGGGCGGGTCGTTCACGGTCCCAAGCCCACTTCTCCTTGAGCTCAGGCTCGAGGTCGTCTTCGAGCATCTGCACGACGTACTTGCCCAGTACGGGGAAGAACTTGTAGCCGTGGAAGGAGCCGCAGGTGGCGACGTAGAGACCCTTTGCGGCGGCGTGGGGGGAGATGATGAAGTCGGAGGAGGTGGTGAAGGCGTCCCTGGTGTATTCGTTAGTTTTTTTTTGAACGAAGATTCGACGAATAGTAGAAGGGATTGACAACTTACCAGCAGATTCGGTGCTTGTCCATTTTCCAGTTTGCGCCCTTCTTGCCGTAGAAGACGTCGTTGGCGTGCGCAATGTCGAGTTTCAGTGGGCCGGGCACATCCCACTGGTTGTAGTCCTTTCCGGATGGCGGTGCGGAAACGAAGCGACCGGGGAGGACTTCGTGTGTGTTCTTGAATATCTTCTCGCCCCACCACTTGAGCTCGCGGTCTTTGGTGGGCGGTAAGCTGCCAATGAAGGGTCCGTATGCGGCGGTGTAGCCTTGGACACCGACTGGCATGTGCTTGAATTTCTCGTAGGACTTTTCGTCGAGAGTGGTCATGCCGGTTGTGATACCACCGGCGACAATTCTTGATCCAGCACGGAGGTTTTCATTTCCACTGCGCTTTGCGGCTTGCTCGAGAAGTTTGGCTGTGTACGCGCCGGTTGAGAGAACGACGTGTGTGGCTGAGAGTGTATTGCCTTGCTCGGTCTTGACTCCAGTGCAGCGACCGGTGTTGTCAAACTCCAGGCTCTCAACCTTTTGTGTGACATACTTGACGCCCTGTTCGATTGACCATTTGGTAACAGCTCTTAGAGCGTCACCAGCCTGTGCCCATCCACTGGTCTTGTTGACGAGCACACTCTTAGCACCATCGTAGTTGGCCTCCTCGAAAAGCCCACCAAACATCTTCTTTGCCTCCTCGACGGAAACGGACTTCAGATCGGCCTGGCGACCAAGCTTCTTGTAGTTGTCAATGACTTCTTGTGCGTAGTCTGAGCGGCAGACCCAGAAGATGCCGGTCTCGTGGAAGTAGGGTTTCCAGAGCGGGTCCTCCTTGAAGACATCCTGAGCTTCTAAGGCGAGTCTGCAGTAGATGAGATCATCGTAGTCGGCGCGCACAACTTTGTTCCAATCCCACGACGCAGCGACGCGGTTATCGGCGTCCCAAGCATCCTGGTCGACAACGGTGATTTGGCGGTCAGGGTACTTCTTGATAAGGTGGTAGGCAGTCGAAATGCCAAAAACGCCAGCACCGACGACGAGGTATGAAGGTTTGCTGGATGCCATGTTGTTCAAGATCCAATGCTTATCGTCACAGAGCATGAAGTGAGAGAGGTTTGATGCAGCGATGAAGAAGCACTACCACTGTGCATTGTATTTATACTATCGGCCATTACATCAACCAGTTCATTTCCCAAAGCGGTCGACCTGATAAGTGGGCCGTTCTCGGCCTCGTCGTCGTGGTCGTGG